TTGTCCATATATTTGTTTTTGTGTAAATTATGTGTGGTACACCCCCCTCCACTTACTAATAGAGTGATAAAACTTAATGTATAGTTGAAATCAGTTTAATGGCTGGATACTTTTGAAAAAAATAAATGTGCTATTATTTAATATGTGTTATCTATTTATTTTGGGATTTCGGCGGGGGACATTTGCCTCACTGTTGGCTTGTTCGTGATGTCTTTCTATGAGACCAAGCGGTTTAGTGTATCAGCTAAACAAGATCACTCCGAGGACAGATGTATATTTTGGGGTACATCGGAAGCCACAACAGACGGGCTAGAAGTAAACATCAAGGAAAAAGATACAATTTCCCGGAAAAATCTTGATTTCGCCAATTTTTGAACCTCTGTATAAATTTTTGTCTTGTTCACATTCTAATTAACCAGGACAAAAAATTTATTTTGATGTTTACTTTTTTCCATAAAAATAAAAATGCCAAAAAGTCACATTTTGTTCGAACTTTGATAGAGGTAGCACCCTCTAAATAATTGAGGGTAGCCCCTTAATTTTTCAAAATTTTGCAAAATAAGGACCACCCTAGTGAAGGGTTCTTTTATGTGCACGCCAATGTGTGGTGTTGGGTAAAAATGTCCTATTTTCGGGTTAAAGTGTCGTAATGTCGGTGTCGGGTAAAAATGTCATATTGTCGGGTTAAATTGTTGTGGTGTCGGGTTAAAATATCGTGATGTCGCCTTATGAAGTCTAGGAAAACCGACATTAATCTGTGACGGGAAAACACGATTAAAAGATTAAAAGTTTGCAAATTTTTTATGAGTTTTTATGGATTTCGCCGGAACATGGACGCAGATAAAACCGACGAATGCATTGTACATAGTAGTTCACAGGATATATATATGTCGTATTGGTAAATGTTAGCGGGAAAATTTTGGCAGGCTATGTGACGCAAAACGTGTGACATGGGACTGCTTAAAATCGTGAAAAAAGACAAGTGCTGCGTTTGCACGAACAAAGTTCATTACCGAGAACTGATATTGGGTTCAAACCCACAACTCCACAAAAAGAGACCCATCACAAGTTTCACCTATGAGGTAAGAAAGCCCAAGAAAACGTTTACCAGATATATTTCATGAATTAGGCATTGTGTTTTTAATGGCTTTGAGTATATATTCCTTGTCATCAAATGGTTACAATGGATCTACAGGCCAGAGGTTTTTTTTCAGTTTTTGTCAAAACTTTCTAGAATTGATTTGCAAGTTATAAGGATGAACCACACAACCACATTAATTTCTTAAATTATTGTCCTTATCAAAAGCTTGTAATTCCTATAGGGCCAGAGTCCTTATTTTATGTTAACTTACAAGGATGAACCATATTGAAGTTTAGAATCATGAACAAATTTTTTTTAGTTGCTACCAAGGCCATAAAAGCCTTGTTAAAGTACAGAGTTTTTGATTATTTGTTTTTTCTTTCAAATCTGCATGAATTCCAGTACATTAATTCCAAAACAGAATAGTGACAAATTTTATAAATAGCACATGATTTTATAATCACTAGTATAGATACAGTCCATAAGCTGTACTAGCTAAGAAATTACTGATGCGTTCACAAAATATGAAGTCTATCAATCAAACAGGAAGTGCCACCATCTTGAAACGTGAAAAATCCTTTTGCGATATTTTAATTACAGACATGGGAGTTACATTTTCTTAATCCTTGAAGGAATGCCTAAAAAACATTCAGAGCAGAATTTGGATTTAAGTCAACTGATGGTCACCCTTTTGAATTGAATATGAAAAATAGTGAAAAATCTACATTAACAGGCTTGTAAATAAACTATTAAACACAATAAGCTGTAGTTTGTTGAATTCGTCTCCTATTTCTGAAATTAATACATTTCTGGATAACCTGGTTCATGGTCGAATTTTTGGTATTTGAAAAATTCAAAATTTCAAATTTCTACTTTGACGTTTTTCGTGCAGACAAAGATGTTCACGAGTAAAAAAAATCTGCATTAAAAGCATGGAGATACTCGGAATAGGTCGTCGTTTCGTGAATTTGAATCCTATTTCCGAAATTAATACATTCTGGTTAGCCTCCTTCCAAAAATGGGTGGTGGCTTTTGTTTAAATATATTTTCAAGATGTTTTAGGAATCCGAAATCACCGAAATTTACTGATGAAAAAATTGACCTACATAGCTGTAACTTTGTGATTTTTTAATCTATTTTACTAATTCTTTTTTCTTTGAATACCATAAGACATTTACTTTAAATTTCCGAATTTCGAAAATTACGTCCTTGACATCTCATCCCGGAAGTAAAAACCAACATGACAACTTCTTGAATATTAGTACGATTTTCATGAAATTTGTAGATCTGATTGATCTAACTTCAATGATGTCGTCAGAAATTTTCTAACTTATCTCCCCTTGGGGAAATTAAGGTTCACAGTTTTCAAAAAAATCGACAAAAAGTAATAATGTCAGATTGCCTTGAAAATTTACTTCTGTACTAGCTTAGGAATTACTGATGAGTACACATAATATGGAGTTAGTTGATCGAACCGAAAGTAATACCATCTTCAAACATGAAAAATCCCTAAGGCTCTTCCGATATTTTACTTACAGACATGTGAGTTACATTTTCTGAATCCTTGAAGAAAGGGCTAAAAAACTTGAACAGAAGAATTTTGATTTCAGTCAACTGATGGTCACCATTTTGAACTGAATATGAAAAAACTGATAAATCCACGTTAACGGGCGTGGAAATAAACAGAATAGGCCGTAGTTTGAAGAATTTGTATCCTATACTGAGCGCCATGGAAAACGCATCACTTAATTTTTCATATAACAAAATGATCCTGTAAACATATCTTATTTATTTTGCTTCTTATTGTGAACAATATTCAAATGGGAACACATCAATAACAACACATTTGTACACTTATGGATGTTTAATATGTAATCACGGGCCAATATTTTTTGCGTTTGGGAGCATTGTGTGAAACAATAGTTCATAGTATTGCATAATATTATACATACAAAACCACCTAGTAATAAAATATTTGGGAAAAAAAAGTGATGCGTTTTCCCACCATTTTCATTTCATTTTCTGATCTGTCTCGTTTTTAAACAGCTTGATTCCTTTTTCTGAAAGTTCTGGAAGGGAAGTCAATCTGATTACAGTAATACAAGTCTCATTTATTTCCCTTAATTTTTTTGCTTGGGTGAAATGTTTCTCGCTATATTTAGGCTTCTAACTTCATGAGTATTTGACCAATTTTAATAATCATTTTTCTTTACAGATTCTTGATATAATCCATGACACATGGCGATGAATATAAAAGCTTTCATATCTGCATGGCACAGTTGCAGATCTAGTTTTGAATTTGTAATGTAATATAATCATCAAAAATAAAATATCGAAGTAAATAAAATTTAACCCTCACTAACACAATGATCACTTTTCGGAAAATTTTCTTCTTTTTTTTTTATCACCTAAAATCAGAAAACTACAATGACTTTTAAGGTTAAGAATTTAGTATGGTTGAACCATTCCAATCTACTTAATATCGGATGGCATCTAGAGTTGATTATGGTCTTGTCATGTTAATAAATGTCTAATTAATAGTTTATATAACATTTCAGGCCAGAAGAAAGACCTACAATAGGCTGATTCAGCTCTTGCATAATGTATGTTTAAAAGGATGTTATGGAAGATTAGATAAAGAGCTGGCAGTTCTTGCTATAATAGTTAAAAAAAATAGGTAATGTAATGGAAATATGTTGACAATTTCACAGGTACGTGGGGACAGGAACGTTTGATAGTAAATATTATATGATTTAGCATAAAACAGGAAGAAAACTAAAGAGGATTAAAAATTTTGAAAAATTTTAAGACCCCCCCCCCCCCAGAAAATCATTTTTTTTTTAAAATCACAAGGTACACTATAAGGGTGTTGGTGTCCCCAAGTACCTGCTGAAAATTTCAGTCAAATTATTTCACTCTGAGCCAAAATATCCTCGCTACAATAACACTGTAGCCTTGATTGTAATTTCTACCATTGTTACGATAATAAACAAGTCTCGATTATCCATTTTTACGGTAAATTATCAACCACCGTTGAACCGCAGATCAGATTTAAATCTGTTGAAAATCTAAACTATACGATTGAATGGAAAAATGATTATGGTCTTGGTAAATTAATTTATGCAAGAGCTAAATCTGTCTATTGCAGGTCTTTCTTTAGGCCTGAAATGTTATCTAAATTATTAATTAGACATTAATTAACCTATCCAGGCCATAATCAACTCTAGATGGCAGCGCTAGCCTGCGATCTTTAGTGGATTGTAAGCCGATTTACTGCATAACTTTCCTTCTCGATTAAACGATTAAATGGATAATCAAGACTATGCTGTTTATCTTACTGACTTTAGTAATGATGACCGAGGCTTATGGGAATTTCAGTCGCTTAGTTCTCGGTTCATCGTGGATCAATTTGAATGAAATTTTCACCAAATTGCCTTTACATTATCTAGTTTTTAACTATTATAGTGAGAACTGCCAACTCGTTACCGAATCTCCCATAATGTATCTTTAATTTCTAAGGGATGCCTTTCATGTTGTATTTCTTAATTTCAGCCTGACTTAGTAGGATGTTAAAACCCATTTCATTTCATTTCCTTAATTTAAAAGATGGTCTCAGATATTTACAATCACAGAAATTATACAAATTTATCACTCAATAATACATTCTACAGTAGATATCGCTTGTGTGATAAATTTCATAATCTACTGCATATTGCTTCTAAGGAGATATCGCTTTACATGAATTTGATTAGTCAATCAAAAAGGAACTACTTTTTTTATTTTCAAAGGACAGTTCATTTTTTTTAAAAAGTAACTTCTTTCTTATTAAAAAGGAACTATTTCTATTTAATTGGCCTTGATGGAATGTAAAATTGGGATTATGCTATTCATAACTTTGCTCAGATTAAAGTAATTTGACTGAAATTTTCAAAATATAATTATTTTTGATTATCTATTTTTAAAATATTATGTTACACAATTGAGGAAATATCAATTAAACTTCCTTACATTAGCAATCTTATCAGATTAACAAGACGAGTAACAGCTGTAACAGCTGGCACTGACTTGACACGGCGAACAGCTGTGCGAATGTCATTAAGCATCACAGCTGACCCGAGTTACGCAAGGTCTTGGAATGATAAAGCAACCTGTACAGGAAGCTTAATCTGTTTATTACATAATGACCAGTTGTAATCTCTGGCCATAATTGAATCTGAAATATAATACCTGGCCATAGCGGATTGGTCAATGACTATCTGTCCGATCGGGGCATCCACCCACCCCAGACTAATACTGACCAATCAGGTCACGGTGCATGGGTGTGGTTTCCAAATTCAAGGCTGGACCTCGATCCGGCCCAGTAATATATAAATTCAAACTAATTGTTTTATCAACAAGCCAGCCCAGAGAGCCGAGCTGGGAACAAGACTGCTACTAGATGAAACACCTGTAACTTAAGTATTGTAGTACAAGTATTGTAAATATGTTTATAGCAGAATAAAAAGTATTGTATGAACCTGAAACTAGTCTTGTCGTCCGAACCTGATTAAAGAACCAATACTGTCACAATTATAATGAAGTAGCCAACTGAAATCTTGAATGAAAGTAACATCTAATTACATTTGTAGAATGCTGCCATACTGTACTTATACGGTACCACATAGTATTCTTAACTCTTAGCACCCTTAACAACTTAATCTTTATGCCTATACTTATGTTTCTTCTTTTTCTTACTAGATTTTCTATAGTCATCTGTATCACTGTGTGTAATAATATCTGTTGTGGCACTATCATCTATATGCGATTCGTTACGTTTGGCTTGTTTAACTGAAGGTTCATCAACAGAACTTTCCTCAGCACTGTCACAATAACTCAATTTCCTTTTAATACCCGGGTGTTTCAGTAAACTTTCTTCTGGATCAATTAAATTTAATGTTAATGGAATATCAGTGTCAACAATGCCACTATCTGTATCAGTGTCTTTGACCTTTTTCTTTTTTCTCTTCCTTTTCTCACTTACTGTTAATGCTTTGGAAGAAACATTATCTACAGCCAATGAATTGTCCATTTCCTTACTTTCTGTTAATTTTGTCTTTTTTTTCTGCGATTTTTTAATTGACTTTGTGTATTCTTCCTCTCCATTCTTGTTGGGTTCATGAAATGTTTCACCATCACTAGACACAAAAGAAAATTTGTCTTCAGAAACGTCTATTTCACTTATACGTCTAGATTTCTTTTTCTTAGATCTTTGAGATGATTCTACACAATCTTGGTTTTCTTGAATTTCACTCTCATTGGGGTCCTGAATGGTCTCAGACGTTATTAATGTTGTGTCTTTTTCATTTCTTTTCTTTGATTTTTTCTTCTTTTTGGAACTTTTCGAAGACTCTAGACTTTCATTTATTTCTTCTTCTATATCTGTATTCTCGCTTGGTTTATTGACTGTTTCTGTAGCACTGCTCTGACTTTTAATAAGAAATCTGAAAAAATATTATGATACTTATTTTGAGATGAGTATGACCACCAGGAAGGCCTTTAATATGACATAAAAAGATATAAATATGCAATGATGTGTTAAACCTATTTTATTTTTAGATTTCAAGTAGAGAATACATTCCCAACAAGAACTCATAAGAAGATACTTAATTTGGTTTGCGCAACTAATGTGTTTGTCTGTAGTTTGCATACATGCATGTGTTACATAAATACAATATAGCGGGTGGGAAGTCAAACGGTAGTAATTTTCATATTTGACGAAATTGACCCTTTTCCCCATCAAGAGCTCATAAGATACTTAATTTGATTTGAGCAACTAATGTGTTTATCTCTAGTTTGCATACATGTACATGTTATATGATTAGGATATCTGATGTCAATCGAATGTATTGTTAAAGGTTTAAATCGAACAATAATAATATTTATTTCAAAAGTAAAAAAATATGTTGTTATAGCACAATTATTATTACTAATTATATTTGTATAAGAGAGATAAAGATGGAGGTGTGAAATCAATAGAAGTCAATGTAAACTGAAAGGGTCAATCTCCATTATATTTTGGAGAATAAAACTGCTTAATTTTCTGTGAATAGCCTTTAAAAAACCTCTACCTTAGGGCCGAGCAACTAACTCAATATACGTGATACGTTTTCAAACAACTTAAACCTGTCAGTCTTCATCTGGAAATGGAGACTGGTGTCCAAAGCTGTATTATACGGTGTCTGTATAAAACCAGACTTATTTTATAAAACTAACGTGTAGGTGAAATTTACCGTTTGTTATAAAGTACAGAACATGCATCACGCACTGTTTTGACCTCTAAAGGAACGGTAATAGATTATTAAGTGTCCAGATCAGTGGTTGATGTTCATGTCCTAACAACTCAATATTTTGAACTGAAATTTTCAGAAAAGGTAAATACATGTACATCATTCCTCTATATTTTGATGCTTAAATTTCATATTTCTGAGACTCTGTTAAAATTGGATGGTCCATATAATATGGCTATTATATACATGTAAGTTAAAATAGATTGATTTAAAAAAACTTTTGTGTACATGTATGGTTGTCACTTTCAGAAAATAGCATCAATAATCTTCCATTCCCTTTAATATTACCAGACTCTCAACGGTATAACTGACAAGAATTAGCTGACAAGCTGATTAATCAACTAGTAATAACAAACTCTTTATAAATGCAAATAATAATTGAGCCGAAGATACATTGATCAATAGAAATATTCTTAGTACTTTTAGTGTGTGTGTGAAATATGCTTTATTTAACATCCGCTTCCACTAATGTGATATCGCAGACAACTAGAATAGGTATCTCTTCAAATAATTCTGACATCAGCTGACATCGAGGGGATTAAAAATGGCTGACAAAACAGTAACCATGAAAGAAATCGTTGAGCAACCTACCCCACTCAGCAAAGTGAGATATCTCTGATTGGATACTACATGTACACCAGGGTATATGATAAGAAAAATAAATTGACTAGCAATGATTTGATGTTCAGAAAAAAAGTGCTAATCAATCTGAAAATTGATTAGCAGTTCCTCTTGACTGAATAGCAATAAGTATAATGAACATAAATTGAAAGGCCTAATTATCAATCAAATCACTAGGTTACACATGTGCATAAATTCATGTATACAAGAGAAATTTCAAGATACAAAATGAAATATGAATTGATAGGTAGTAAATACTTACAGTTCATCTGTCAAAGTGCCTTGGATGAATAAAACTTTATTATTGGAAGAAACAGATGTAACTTTGAAGTAAAATTCATCTCCTTGTTCCAGTTGACTGCCTTTCCAAGTTCCATCTCCATATTTTCGTGGCCTGGGTATAGAGGCATTAAAATGTCTGTGTACAAGACATCCAACATGAGTTTGACTAGTCTTATTGACCACACCCTTTAAAATACATCCATCGAAGGGACGGAAAACAATATAGTCTGCTTGTATTTTAAAGTTGAAATAAGGTTTATCATCATGTGTTAAACTCAGTGGCTGTAACAGTTTGATGTTACTATATGATATAAGAACACCTTGTAACCTGAAATAAAGAAAAGTCACTGAAGTGCTACATGTATATGGAAATACCGGATGAGTTAAATTTAAGTAAGTGTTACATTAATTGCTAAATGGCTGATATGAAATTTGAGTAAATGTATATATTGATCATAAAATTTGACATTCATTACCCTTATTAGTTCTTACTGATTTAAATCGTAAGTTCTATCTGCTATTTGAAATATTTGAATATTTACTACGGCTAGTGTTTGTGTTGGGTGTGCCAAGGATGTGCATCCACGACAAGAGGCATTGCAATGTGATGGTTGTGACTGCTGGCAACACCGTACATGTATTTGCAATACGGGAGACGCATTGCCAGATTGGTTGTGGAGAGTTGGAGGGGGTGCAGTTCTATTGTCAGGAATGCCTCTATAGAACTAACATGATGTGGAAAAAAGTGTATTGGGACTATTAAAAGATGTGGGTCATTATTTAGTGGCTGTGTAGTGACGTTTTGGGGGAATTTTATTTTTCATTAATGACTTTTTGTTTTTGAATTTGTTATTTATTAATGAAATAGTTATTATTTATTGAATAAAGTGATTTATTTTGTTGTTTGTTATTCATAAAGAAAATTATACTCATATCAAACACAATGATAACCAGGTGGGTATGATGATAGAGCACCACTCACTCAGTACACTAAATTATATATATATATACTGACTAGGAACACTTTATGTGTCCCAAACATTAAACAATGTCGTGTGGACGACTCAACCAACGTATTTCTATATCCCGAAATTAAACAATTTTGTTTCGTTTTGTCTTGTTTTCACTACGCCAGGAGCTGGAAGAGTTGTTATATAACCCGCGTTCTGGTTGATGTGAGGGATTAGCCAATGAAACGGTCTGTTATGGCGAGTTTTTGGCGTGAGGTGCACAGATCCGTGGGTAACCCATGAGAAACATCAACGCTGATTGGTTAACCAAATGTCTGACGTCATAGGGTCAAAAGTCGCTTGAATGACCTCCAACGCGACCGTCCACTACAACCGGTCAGATCTTCATATATACTATTCAAAAAAAGTAGGGGATATTTGATTTTGGGGGCATAATACTAAAATATGCAAATGACTACGAAAAAAGTCACTATAGAACCTAACAGAAGAAACATTTCCAGTTACATTTGATGCCCAAACGCACCAATAGCTACCGCATGGAATGCAGGTGATGCTTGGGATCATCATGGGGGTCCAACCCAAGATTTGCACGACTCTGACTTTGAATGTTACAGTCATTGTGGCATTGAATTCCAGGGTGGAAACATCAGTTTAATTGTTTTAGTGACCAGAAAACAAATTTTGATATGCGTCGGCTTACCCAAAATGAAAGGTTACGTGCCCTTGGCATGCTACAGATCGGCACAACACAGGCGGTTGTGGCGCGGACGATGAATGTTTCTCAGTCTGTCATAAGCAGGCTATGGTCCAGATACCGTGATACACAATCTGTACAGGACAGACCACACTCAGGTCGACCAAGGGCGACAACTCAAGCCCAGGATCGATTTATCCGTACCTTGGCCTTGAGAAATCGTGTCATCACAGCAAATCAGATCAGCGCTCGTCTTCAAACAGACACTGGTGTGAGAGTGAGTGGCCAGACGATTCGGAATCGACTGCATAGGGGTCACCTTCGCGCCCGACGTCCTCGCGTGATCCCTTGTTTGAGAGATCATCACATTCAGGCAAGACGTCGTTGGTGTAGGGATCGTCAACACTGGGATAATCGACGCTGGAGCAATGTGATGTTTTCAGATGAGTCAAGGTTCACTGTTGATTTTTTGGACAGACGTAGGAGGGTGTGGCGTCGTCGAAACGAGCGCTTCCAAGACGTTAACGTCATCAGACATGATCGATTTGGGGGTGGTTCTGTTATGGTGTGGGGAGGCATCACTGTTGCTGGAAGAACGGCTTTACATGTTGCTGCAGGGCGTGTTACAGGCCAGTACTACCGGGACAACATCTTGGCAGTCCATGTTGTGCCGTTCGCACAACGTCATGGCCGCCGTTTCATCTTCCAGGATGACACCGCAAGATGTCACAGGGCCAGGATCGTTACAGGTTACCTCCAACAACAGAACATCACCACATTACCTTGGCCAGCACTGAGTCCCGACCTTTCCCCCATCGAGCATGTCTGGGACATGCTTGGACAGAGGTTACGTCAACGTCAACAAAGTCCTGCCAATGTCCAAGAACTTGCTGCTGCGTTGCAACAGGAATGGGACAATCTGGACCAAAATGACCTTAGACGTCTCATTAGGAGTATGCCACGTCGGATCAATGCTTGTTTGGCAAACAGAGGAGGATTTACTCGTTACTGTCTTGGTTGTGATGCTGTGGTAACTTTGCTGTTTGACCCCGGGTATCATTTTACCCTTATAATGGTCAGTCTGTGCCTTACTTAGTCTAACGATCATTTGGAATAAATCGATGAATGTGAACTTCATTTCATTTTGTCATTTGTTTCTTTGTCAGTTTCATTAGGTGACTTCAATAACACTTAAAAATCAAATATCCCCTACTTTTTTTGAATAGTATAGTATAGACCATCGAAAGTATAACAAAACAAAATGAAATATAGATCTGTATTTTAATCAGATTGGAAATTAACCTATGTTGTATAGGCGAGTCAAACAATGCCTTGTTGAAAACTCAACCAACAAGTTTGGATATTTGTGGACGACTTTACTAGACTTTTTGTGTGGTTGAGTTTGCTTGTGGACGAGTTAACTGGCATTTTTCTAAACTATATTTATTTGTGAAATTAGCTACGGCACAATTACCAACTGACATATGGAACTGGAAGGGTATGGCTGCCAATATTAAATACTCTGCTAAATTGTCTTTTCCAGTGATTACATGTAAATGTAAAAAGTAAGATCTATAAAGTCCTAATTCCAGTAGTATGACTTTATTTATTAAGGCTATCGGAATAAACTATTGTTTTTACTTGTGAGCCAATTAAAATCAAAATCTGATGGGTATGTAATGACAAGTCAGCAATCAAACTGGGGGGTCTGGGTAATGCAAGTATGCCAATTCCTTTTTATTGTGTGCTGAGCCAAATCATTACATGTAAGTTTATGCAGAACGTACTGTAGTGATTTCGTAACTTCTTGAAGTTGATAACCATTACAATTTTCTAATAGTAAACTATATTTATGTTTCGCCCAAACATGAATTAATCTCAAATCAACTTTGGATTATAGTATTCTCCACAAATTAATCTCTAATCAACTTTGGATCATAGTATTCTCCTCAAATTTATCTCAAATCAACTGGGGATCTCAGTATTCTCTACAAATTAATCTTAAATCAACTTTGGTTCATAGTAATCTCTACAAATTAATCTTGAATCAACACTGAATCATAGTAATCTCTACAAATTAACCTTTCAATAATAGCGCCTAATGGGTAGCTGTGTGTAATTATGCTCTCCTGATTTTGATCGTTTTTGTGAACAATTTGTCTTTTCCGTTAATGCTTTGTTAGTGAGTTAACGATATACCCCATTATCAAGTATGTCACTAGGTGTCATTATTAAATCAAAGACAGGGGTATGGTCAAGCAGGAAAATCCCACATAATGGAAAGAAACAGTTTATAGAAAGGAAAATCCAAACAATTAAGTTGACGGCACATGGTTGTCGCACCAATTGTATGTCTCTTTGTTGGTCTCTTCCAAGACATAAAACACTGACTGATTGAGATGTTTTCACTCAGAAAACCAGGGAATAAGGTTGTCAAATCACTCTGTTAATATCATGCATGTTTATGCAATGTGAATGAGTGCAGACAGTCAAAGTATGTCTTTTCTGTTATAAATAATGATAACGGAAAAGACTTCTTGCATTTAGATAGACAAAAAGATAGGTTGCCAGGCAACGAAACATACGCCCACAGCAGCTAAATCGTCCGGGCAGTCAACAAGTGTTGTCGCATATTTTTACTTCTTTCGGTAATGAAACATTTATAATACACTCATGAAGTAATTATCAGAAAACCATTAGAATTTGTTTGGTTTTTAATATCATGGATTTAGCTGTTCAAGTCATAAAAATTCATTGAAAATCAATATACTTGTTCGTCTCAAGCTGTTAAACTCTGTGTATCAATCTGAAGTCAATCGGATGATAACTTTAGCCTCTAGAGCGTCACAAGATTTTTCAAAGTGATCAAGGGCCATAACTGTGACAGTAATTATTGAAAATCACTGAAAATGAATAGACTTCTTTGTCTCATGACCTTAAACTCTGTGTATAAATTTAAAGTCAACCGGATATTGACTTTAGCCTCTAGTGCGTCCACAAGATTTTTCAAAGTGATCAAGGGCCATAACTCTGGCAGTAAATATCGAAAATAACTGAAAATGAATAGACTTCATCTCATGACCCTAAACACTGTGTATGAATTTAAAGTCAATCGGATATTAACTTTAACCTTTAGAGTGTCCAAAAGATTTTTCAAAGTGATCAAGGGCCATAACTCTGGCAGTACTTATCGAAAATCACTGAAAATCAATAGGCTGCTTCGTCTCATGACCTTAAACACTGTGTATAAATTTAGAGTCAATCGGATATTAACTTTAGCCTCTAGAGCGCCCACAAGATTTTTTGAAGTGATCAAGGGCCATAACTCTGGCAGTAATTATCGGAAATCGCTGAAAATCAATAGGATTCTTCCTTTCATGGCCTTAAACACTGTATATAAATTTAAAGTCAATCGGATATTAACTTTAGCCTCTAGAGCGTCCACAAGCAATTGTGGACGCCGGACCGACGGACGGGGGCGACGACAATATACGACCACATTTCAATGTGGGCGTATAAAAAAGGTATTTTGTTAAAATTATAATCCGTTATCGCTTTTTAAATTCTTTCTAATGGTATTCAAACATTTATTTAGACAACTGGAGTCAAATTAATGACTTTGAATTTTTGTCTTTTCCGTTATGCCTTTACTGATTACATGGTAATAACTGAAAAGACATTCTTACAGATATGATTTTGTTGCATTTTTGTTATTTCTAAGAGTGCTGCATGGCTATTGCATATACTTCCTGTTGAGTTAAAAACCTAAAGAATACAGTGAAAATTTCCATAAAAATTCATAATTACTCTTCAAAATTTGTCTTTACCGTTATTTGTACGTTTTTGTGAAAATAGCCCATATGATCGCTTGTTTGGTTGACTTGCAGTTACATGTAAGTTAATAAATTATGGGTAGCCTATATGTCTTCTACATGTATATAGAGCGAGGCTCTACAATATTGTGCGAAGCGCAGTGCTTGAGCAAAGCTCTTTAAAGGTAACACAGGAGTGTAACTAAAACTGTCAACCACAGACTGTTGATTAAAAAAAAATCCAGGCCGGAACCGGATACACTGGTCAAAACTGGCAATGCACATACTAACTTACGATTCTCATTGAAATATTTCTATGAAATGTCTAATCAATTCAATGACATCACATATTTTTGACATCAATGACAATAATTCTCACAAAATTAATCATACAATCTAAATTAAAATCAATTCAGAAAAACGAAATTATTTAACATTATTTGTATCACTTGAGAAACTTAATTATGAAGGTTTTATATTTAACAATAATGACATCAGCTTTGCTGTACTCAGGTAATTCCTGTTAGTGCAGTGACTGTATTAATTTTCTGTTGGAATTGTTGATAGTAGATTTTTGATAGCCATCATTTAATGACTTCTTTCATTTGGTCGATCACTTCAATACATCCAAGCATAACCTCATTGATGATGGAAACCACCTTGCCCTTGGGCTTGATTGATTGGCCCAAGTGCCCTTAAAACCTTGGTACTATTTCAGTAACGTACCTCTACCAGTTCCTGTACTACGGTAAAATAAAAAGTTATTGACCGATTCGGCTGAAATTTGGTGTGAGGTCATGATTAGTCCCCGGGAATACCACCCCTGAAAATTTCAAGTCCCTACGATCATGGGAACTGGTAGAGGTACGTTACTGAAATAGGATTACATGTCATTTGGGACTCACGTCATTTGGGACTCGCGTCCTTTGGGACTCAAAAAAATATGACCACAACATTTGGGACTCGGGTATATGACGTTTGGGACTTTGGTATACGTCGTTTGGGGCTCGGGTATACGACGTTTGGGACTCGGGATAATTTATTAGAAATAGGCCAATTCAAAACACGAAAGAAAGTATTTATTAACATGAAACACATGGTTAGTAAAAGGCTCAACCAAACGATAAAACATTAGTTGCACTAACGGTTCTTTGATAATCATCGTTTCTCATAAAAGTTATATATTTATTTAAAACGAATAATATGCTGATGAATTTATTTGAAAATTACCTACACAAAAAACAAAATAAATATTTACACGACATGCAATCTTTTTTACAAGCCCCTAGAAATTGTTAATGATAATCGGTGAGCTGCACGTTGACATACTTGTTGTAGATGGCAATACCAATCGATAAATTAGTTTTTTTGTGGAAAATATAAGAAATGGCAACGATCAAAGTGGGATAATTAAAGCTGATTAACTGATAATCCTGATGTTATTGCAGTATGTTCAAAGAAACCTAACGGTTCTTTGGTGGATGAGGAAAAACGTGAGTTGTCAATCATCGAGAATGGCGGCCGTGTGTTGATTGCAGTTATACCGTGGTATATTAGCAGTGGTCGGTCAATCAAGCTCGTTTACTATTTGATAAAAGAAAAACAAATTTTCAACAATATATTATTGTCAAGTTTTATACTCGCAGATAAAACAAAACAAAGGAGAACTAGCAGTGTTAATCGCGGCCTCAACAATCGCCGATCAACTAAATAAAACGAAAGACAACTAAGACAGCTGTTACTATATATCTCATAAATAAATAGTCCCAACTGTCGTTTATATTGATTCCCAAATGTCGTTTGTGTTGAGTCCCAATTGACGCCAATCAAGTCCCAAACGTCGTCAATTGAGTCCCAAATGTCGTTTATGATGAATCCCAAATGACGTGATACCTTGAAATAGTACCAAAACGTTACCTTCTTTAGCACACCTTTTAATCTGATTCATTGACAAACTACTAAGAACTTTGCAACTTACACATCCGAGTAAAGGTTCACTTCTCGGTCTAACTGCTCTGTAATACCTTGTGAAGTTTTACCAATGTATCTCGGTGCTAATATTATATCTCGGCACTTTGTGATCAGCTGGAGGCATGAATATTGATCATGCAGTAACGTTTTAGCCTCATTGAACCCTATTTTCTCCATTAAAGAGTTTATTCGTTCATTGAAACACATTTGAAATTTTTGATCTTAGGTTTTTGTCAACAATAGGCGTATTTATTTCAGTAATAGAAGTTAATTATAAGACATCCTCCGTGTAGAACACGAAAAATACAAATATTCACGTTTTCAAAACATGCGTATGGAGGCCGCCATCTTGTCTGACTTCGGATTTAAACTTCCGGAAGACGTTTAGAATTGTTCAATAAATTGATAATCAGTACATTTGACTAATATTCATAATTAATAAATCCTAAAATCGACATAGAAGTGTCAATACTAATTTTAGGATTATAAATTTTTCAATTAGTAATAGTTATTCCACCGTGGAGATTTGCCGCCAGGTGGCGCGCAATTTCTTAAACTTGACCAATCCTGAAGTTGATGTCAACAATTTTCAAAAAGTAAATGAATTAAATGTCGTTCATGGTATTTTTATCGTGACAGACAGGTATAAATTAAAGATTTTAGTTTCATAGATGTTGATTTATTATCTAGATATTTATTATTACGTCAAATTTTTAAACATGCTCCCCAAAATGTCTATTCTCACGAACTTCCACCCAGATTGGCCAGACAACATTGCATTGATTAAAATTTACATCAACAAAACATTGTCAACCATTGACCAAACTATATAACAATTCAGTTTTATTTCTTCAGTTCAGGTCTAGCCCCTATCAGATGGACTCGGAACTGGTCAGACTGATTGTCATCCGGCAGTCTTCCATCATGTGACATTCAAATTTACTTAAAGTAGCTAAGTCTCTAACTCAATATCATCAAAAATCTTCGACATTGAAAACACAAATTATTTGTCAATTCAAATCAACATTGGTCTTGTGATCTTACAGGGAAAACATGGGCTTCTGATATCCATTGTCTTTGGTACACGAATCGTGTACCATTAGCGTTGCCAAAGGGTTTTTAAATACACAAAATGTCTCTAATATGATTATTGCACTGCAAGCGTCAACTATTTAGATTCAATAATCTGAAAGAATTTTGAAAAAATATTGAAAATTAAAAAAGTTATGGCATTTTGAAGACCGCGAATTGGAGGCACCAAAATACGGCTTTTTTTAAAAAACGTAAAAAACCTGACCGAAGCTAATATCTCAGACACTATAATAGGTAGATCCACGAAACTTGCAGAATTTGAAGTTCAAGATGTACTGGATTGAATCAAATTATCGGGAGACTCTTCGGTTATATAGTGTGTGTGCTACAGACTCTCAAACTTACGACCGAGACAATTTTCGTTCAAGGTCACAGCAAAAAAATGACGTGATAGTTAATAATAAACCATGTAGAAGTCCCAGGGCTTTGAAATATTTACCCAACCCGTTTTTTGATGTGATAGATACACAAATAATGTTTTCACATTGTTATCGTGTTTTTTTATTAGGCATCAGCTACTCGAATTGCATTTTTTGACTATACCATGTCAAGGTCATACAGAAAGTGTAAGGTCACGGGTCAACTGTAGGTCTAGAGAGAGAGAGAGAAATGGGGTTTAACGTCCACTCGACACAAACTAGGTCATTTCGGGACTAACATAGGGTTTAATTTTATTTCAATAATTCGCTTGCGCGTAGGGGTCTTTAGCAGTGGGAGGAAACCGGAGGACCCGGAGAAAACCCACGAGGTTGGACAGGCGACCCTACTCCTTGTCACGTACAACCGGGGATTCGAAACCACGCCAGTCGACTCAATGACAGACTTTCTGATACAGCACGCGCACGCTAACCATTCAGCCATCCAACCCCCCTGTAGGTCTAGAGGCTATTAAAATATTCACAGTCTTTTCCTGGATACATACACATGCAAAACACACAGACAAAAATAGTTGTTTCAGGAATGGAAAATCACAAGTATTATGATCAATAAAAATATCTTTATTTCAATTAACAAAATCAATAAAACTTAAAATCAACAAAAATAAATAAATAACAGAATTTTTCTGGGTGAAAACTTATGACCTAAATCTAAAAATAACAGAAAACAAAACTGTGTATCATGATCAACATCAATCATATGAAAACTACCAACTACAAAACCAAAAATATAAAACTTAAAAAAATTAACAATATATGATATAATCACAGGGATTACACATGACAAAATAATTTCTTTTTTGGCATGACTGGACGTCATCAAAGTCATATGCAAATACAAAAAGTTACATGTATAAGTAATCGAATGTTATGACATTATTAAAGAAAGAATCACCCCTTCTCTATAAATAACAAATATCTCTGGTTATAAAATTTTAAAAAAAAAGATGTACAACAATGAGTAAAAAATTGCATACAGTGATAAAAAATATCAATGCTGTATTCTCAGAACTAAAGCGTGGAGTGAAAAGTGGCATGAATCTTGGAGCTTGCGTCTGTGCCTGGAAAATAAAATTGATTTGGTACAGAGCAATATAATCCCTGGCCTCTTCCGATTATGTTTTTTAAAGTTATAATAAAAGAGTGCTGCATCAAATAAACATAGTATAATAATTGTCCTAAAGTACAGATTGAAATGCCTTACTTGAGATTCACTTGCTCCAATTTCTTTTTCACTCTCCTCAGAATCTGTTATGAATAATGGTTGTGAATACTCTTCTTCCATAGTAAATATAAGCTTTAAAATAAATGAGATACACATTTTCATTTTGCCTATGCCGAGTCAGTCTTGTTTCAATATTTGGGGATATATTTTTCTCAAAAGTCCATTTTTTTTTACAAGTAATGTTATTAAATTTGCAAAAACATCTAAATAGTTCACACTTAAGTTTGCAAAAGTTAGGTTAAAAAAAAAAAATCATTCATTGTGGTCTGATCCCATACACGCACCTACCAAGAGTTGTCTTTCCCTGATTCTTCCCCAGTTCTACTTTCCGTCTTATTGCCAATTCCTACGGGGGATTTTGGCAAAACAAAAGCTCAAACTATACAAAATATATACCAGGCTATCCAAAAATGTCGATATCTCGAGCGGAATGCTCTTTTTTTCAAAGTTTCTATTACATTTAAAAATTAAAAACAAGAAAAATAAGCGAAAATTCGATCAAAATCTTACCTGCTATGGCAGTCCGCTAACTTCAGCTCACCAGGTTCCGGAAAAGTGCCACGTGACCACGTTTTGACTTCCTGAATATTCATGAGACCCCGTAGTAGAAACGGTACATTTTTCGGTCAGGTTTTTTAGCACACCAATAATAGGACAGCCAGCGCCTCTAGCGGCGTTTGGCATCGCTAGTACCATAATGCGTTTCAGTGCCATTTGGAACAAGGGTATCATGTCATTTGGGACTCACGTCATTTGGGACTCAACATAAACGACATTTGGAACTCAGTTGACGACGTTTGGGACTTGATTGGCGTCAATTGGGACTCAACACAAACGACATTTGGGACTCAATATAAACGACAGTTGGGACTATTTATTTATGAGATATATAGTAACAGCTGTCTTAGTTGTCTTTCGTTTAAAATTTATTTAGTTGATCGGAGATTGTTGAGACCGCAATTAACACTGCTAGTTCTCCTTTGTTTTGTTTTATCTGCAAGTATAAAACTTGACAATAATATATTGTTGAAAATTTGTGTATATTTAGTAATACTTCGTTGTTTTTCTTTTATCAAATAGTAAACGAGCTTGATTGACCGACCACTGCTAATGTTTTTTCGTGAAACAGTATAACTGCAATCAACACACGGCCGCCATTCTCGATGATTGACAACTCACGTTTTTCTTCATCCACCAAAGAACCGTTAGGTTTCTTTGAACATACTGCAATAACATCTCGATTATCAGTTAATCAGCTTTAATTATCCCGCTTTGATCGTTGCCATTTCTTATATTTTCCACAAAAAAAACTTTGCCTTGTATGCACTAATTTATCGATTGGTATTGCCATCTACGACAAGCATGTCAACGTGCAGCTCACGGATTATCGTTAACAATATCTAGGGGCTTGTAAAAAAGATTGCATGTCGTGTAAATATTTATTTTGTTTTTTGTGTAGGTCATTTTCAAATAAATTCATCAGCATATTATTCGTTTTAAATAAATATATAACTTTTATGAGAAACAATAATTATCAAAGAACCGTAAGTGCAACTAATGTTTTATCGTTTGGTTGAGCCTATTACTAACCACGTGTTTCATGTTAATAAATATTTTCTTTCGTGTTTTGAATTGGCCTATTTCTAATAAATTATCCCGAGTCCCAAACGTCGTATACCCGAGTTCCAAACGACGTATACCAAAGTCCCAAACGTAGTATACCCGAGTCCCAAATGTCGTGGTCATATTTTTTTGAGTCCCAAATGACGCGAGTCCCAAATGACCTGTAATCGGAACAAGGGACTCAAAGAACGAGGCTAGACATATTCCACAAGTCATGTCAAATGGTGACGCTATATTCTTATCTGGAGAGCATGCGCAATAAATACCATTGGTTTAGACTGGAATAACCAGACGCTAAAGATTGTCTTCAATTGAGACTTCTGGCGTATTTCGCCGAACATAACTGATTAGAAATTACAGTAAAAACAGAAACGATTGAATGTAAATCAGTTTATATACATCCATATTACATTATTATATGCGTAGCGACCCATTTGTGTCATTTTCTAGGTGCCAAATATTAGCGATTTAGCTTCTTTAATTGTAAGAACCAATCCAAGATTCCTCAACAAGTATTGTAAAATGGGGTATGGTAACACGAAAAATTAAAAAAGGGTGGATGTTGTCTAGTATAGATAAAAGTATGTTTAGCAATCATATTCCAAAATACTTACGGTAATATTCTTATCTGAAAGTTTCACTGCATAACATTTACAAGCCTATTGTTTATGCTTATGAAAACAGAACCTAGTAGTGTAAAAATAATAGTTTCTGTACTGCAGGCTTTTCCAGTTACATATTCCTGAAGCAATGAATTGCCTGAGAGATCCCTCTCTAGCCATTGCTGGATTGACTTCAGATACTTGAGCTTTTGAGGGAGTGTGTCTATTCATTCTTCACATTCAATCAAATCTATCACTCCTATTCTAAGTACAGCAACATAACAGCCCTTCGTTTAATCGGGGTCATCCCTAAAATTTTGGCCAGTGATTGTAAAAGATCCTTTGACAGTTGGAATTCGGTATAAGAGTAGGCTGTAGTGCCGCTGTCCAAGCAAGATTTCTCTCATAGCACACTGTATGCCCGTCTTCATTAGCCCAGATCGAAGCAGAACAGTAGGACGTTACACCCCATTTCATTTAATTTCATTTCATTTTCATTTCCAAGCAGTATTGTTTATATTGTAGTCGTTTTGATAGCCTCGTTTGTCACACAGTTAGTTTTTCTGCAATAGTCTCACTGATAATTGGACGTAATAATTGGGTTAATTGAGTCATGATGTAACGTTACATGTATGTAAACATCTGGAGCTCTGTTTAAATCCGATATTATAACGCAGTTACATGTAGGTACTGGTTGTTAATCAGACTATTGACCAGTCATAATTTGGAACAGAAATTTGCTTTCATTACAGCAGTGTTTGAGTTGGATTAGGTCTAATCAAATGAAACACTGCAAGGAGTATGTTCCGGATAAAATGGTTAATAAAATGTTATGATGGTGACAGATATAAATCTGATTGTATGAAAGATTGGGAAAATCATATTCATAATCATTATACATCTATTCCCAAAAAGAAGCTTGTTTTTGTGTCTATTTAAGAATTTTAAAGTAGCTAAGTCTCTAACTCAATATCATCCAAAGTCATACACGTTGAAAATACAAATTATTTGCCTATATAAATCAGTATTGATGTGATCTGATCAGGAAAAGACAGGCTTCTGATATTCAATATTTAAGACAAAATAAACATTTTACCGTTGGTACACGAATCGTGTACCGTAGTGCGTTTAAGCGTCATTTGCAACAAGTGACCAGAAAGAACAAGGCTAAAAATATTCAACTGGAGAACCTGCTCAATAGACTGAAATAACCTTACGCTAGAAATTGCTATAGGGTTGAGACACAGGCCGTATTTCGCTGGACAATACTGATTTGAAATTATGAGTCATAACGACAACAATTGAATGTAAATCAGTTTATATACAATCAGATTACATTATTATATGCGTTGCAACCCATTTGGGCCAATTTCTAGGTCCCAAATATTAGCGATTTAGCTCCTTTAAGTATTAATCATTACACTGCCGCTAATCCAAGTACGAAATACATCTCTATCTATATTCATTGCATAGCCTACACCACAGGTATTGTCCACTGAATATAGGAGGTTATTTGGAAAACTTATCCAGGTCCTTATTGAACACCTGAAGTAGTAGTAAATAATACTCTCCTCCCTTGTTTTTTTTCTTTGCTTAGTGTATGTTTTTATTACTGAATACTGGGTATGTTAAACAAGCATTATGTAAGAGCTAAATCTGCCTGTCCGATAATTACTGCCAGAGTTATAGCCCTTGATCACTTTGAAATATTTTGTGGCCGCTCTAGATGCTAAAGTGGATATCTGATTGACTTTATATTTATACACTGTTTAAAGTTAAAAGGTCATGAGACGAACAAGACTATAGATTTTCAATGATTTCTGATAATTACTGCCTGAGTTACGGCCCGTGATCACTTTGAAATATATTGTGGACGCTCTTAGACGCTAAAGTTAATATCCGATTGACTTTAAATTTTTATACAGTGTTTAACTATTTAAGGTCATAAGATGAAGAAGCCTTTTTTCAACGATTTCTGATAATTACTGCCAGAGTTATGGCCCTTGATCACTTTGAGATATCTTGAGGACACCTTAGACGCTAAAGTTAATATGATTGACTTGAAATTTATACAGTGCTTAAGGTCATGAGATGAAGAAGCCTGTTGATTTTCAACGATTTCTGATAATTACTGCCAGAGTTATGGCCCTTGATCACTTTGAAAATTCTTCTGGACACTTTGGAGGCTTAAGTTAATATCTATTGACACAGTCAGTGTTTAAGGTCATGAGACGAAGAAGTCTATTGATTTTCAAGATTTACGCAGTGTTTACGGTCATGAGATGAAGAATCCTATTGATTTTCAACAATTTCCAAAAATTACTGCCAAAGTTGACCCTTTGATCACTTTGAAAATTCTTGTGGACAAAGTTAATATTCGATTGACTTTATATTTAATACAGTGTTTAAGGTCATGAGACGAAGAAGCCTATCAATTTTCAATGATTTCCAATAATTATGGCAATTGATATTAAATGTTTTGTATGCTAAATGTCAGAATAGGGCGGAATTAAAAGCCAAATGGGTTGTTACTCGTAATCAAATTTTAGTGTGTTGTAAATGTTTTCAATTCTGACAAAAGAACAAAAATATGCGCCAACCCTTGTTGACTCCCTGGACAACTTAGCTGCCGTGGGCGTATGTTTCATTGACTGTCAACCTATCTTTTTCTTTATATAGTAGGTAGACAGCTTGAAAATGGGGGATGATTCAGAATGGATGAAATTGCCAACGGATGAAAAAGTACAACATAAGGTTTGTTATTAAGCTTATATTTCAGAGAGCCTCGATGTTCGATCCCTGCATTGGCTGAGAAAGGTCATCAGGATTTTCTGACTTGGTTCCCCCTTGTCAGTGGTGTAGGATGGAGTGCCTGGCAATAGTCGTTCGGATGGAACGAAAGCTGAGGTCCCGTGTACAAATTGGTGTGCATGTAAAAGAACCCATGACAGTTCAGTTGGAATTTGAAATAAGAGTAGGCCGTAGTGTCGCTGGCCGGGTAAAACTTGACTCGTAGTGCACACTGCAAGGTGCATGCCTGTCTTCATTAGCCGAGTTAGAGCATAACAGTAGGACGCTAACTTGAACACCATTTCATTATATTTCTTTACATTTACTTTCTAGACAGTCCAACCTTGTGGGTTTTCTCCGGGTCCTCCGGTTTCCTCCCACTGCTAAAGACCCCTACGCGCAAGCGAATTATTGAAATAAAATTAAAAAACCATGTGTTAGTCCCGAAATGACCTAGTTTGTGTCGAGTGGACGTTAAACCCCATTTCTCTCTCTCTCTCTCACTTTCTAGACATTGTTTTTGTCTAAATGAATCTGAATAAATTGAACCCAGTCTTTTGAAAAAAACAAAAACACCTCAACGTGAATGAAATACATTGATTCATGAATATTGTAATACAATTCTACTGTAAAGATATGTTCCCCTCTCTCAGTTTACCTGGCACTTTTCCCCATTACTAGTCTTTGCCATAAAAACATTGGATTTGACTATCCATGGTTCCTAGGAGCTTGCTAAAGTGTAATGTATTAGTAAAAGACCGGTTTCAGGATAGAAGCATGTCCTTGCATGCTACTGCTACTTGTACCAATACTACTATTAGTATCTGTACTACTAATAATTAATCAGGTGATATTTGTACAACAAGGGTAATAATTAAACCCTGGTACTGGTAGTACAGTAGTTAATACATGAGGCAAACTTTATAAATTTACTATTTATTAGAATTTCTTTGAATATTGCAGGTATGGAAGGCAAGGTTGGCAGGCTACGAAGAAGCCACAAAATTATTTCAGAGATTGGAAGAGAAGAGTCCGGAGTTCAATAAATTTAATGGCTTAATTAGAAAGTTTGTGATAGATAGTAATGCTGTGGCACAAGAGAAAGCGCTTGATGCTGTTTTAGTTTATGTTCAAACTGCTCATGTAGCTGGAAGGTAAAATACATAATTATTATTACAAATGTCTGTTTGGATTCATAACCAAGAAAAGTCCATGTTTTAGGAAAATAATACAAACTAGTACTGCATCAGAAATTGGTGATTAAAGATATTAATGTGAACTAAATGATTGGTGTAAGTGGCAGTGCGTACTGTATAGAAATGGAAGCAGATAAATGTCTTGTTTAAGTCAAAGTGTTGGATTAGGTTAAACTAATACATTACTGTATTTTGAATAATGATGTAAAAGATCACTCGGTTAACTGGTCACGGTTTGGTTGCACTGTTAAACCGGTTCAAAAAATTACTCATCGGTATTCGTTTTCATGTGATACCTGACCTTCAAACCCAGGTATGGTATCCACAACATTATTTTCTTTCATTAAGACCACATAAATACTTCAAATAGCGCTTGTCATTTGTAATAAGTCTTGGCAAGTTAATGTCTTTAAATTCCCGCTCGGAAGTTTTGTATACGTTATTAGCACTCACACGCCACTAAGCATTAAATAGTTTCAGTTGATTGACAAATTAATTGTTTTACGGTATATATTAACCTCATCACTCCATGAACAAAGTCTCAAAAGGAAACAAGTTTGATATGATGAAATGATATTAAAATAGACAGGATAAATAAATATAATAGTAAAATTGTTTATATATCACTCGAGCGCACCATGATATGCTGATGGGATCAAAGTTGCCGGCATATGGGTCAGTGGTACCCTACGACACAGCATGGCTTGTGATAGAAACATGTGTAGTAAATTCTTTAGAATTAGCTGATATTAAATATATATCTTGATGTTATTTTCTAGATCGTGTGCTGATGTTGTCAGTGGAATTGTTACAAAATGTCTGAATGCTAGTAAACAAAAGACGAAGGATAAGGCTATGGATATTATTATGATGTATATAGAAATAGAAAAACAAGAACCTGTACAGGTTAGATAAAATATTGAGATTTGATACTGATTACATCAGAAAATACCAGTTGACCATGTAAATGGTTTATTTTTGGTGTTCAATCTGACATCATTTATATTCATTGTTCTGACACATTGTTTCTTTGAAGCTGAAAACAGCAATTAGATGTTTTCTATTCCTTTCTTACTATTTACCTGATTGTATGTCTGTTTATTCACCTGTGGGGAAGGGGGGTGGGGGATGGCCAAATGGTTAGCGTGGTTTTGATTCCCCGGTTGTATGTGGCAAGGAGTAGATTTAATTTTTTAATTAAATAAATATTTTTGATAGTTTATGGTTTTAAACAGTATATTCTCTGGTAGTACTTTTGTAAACATTGTTATTATTTATTAGTCACTTTATTAATCTTTTGAATATATTGGTCTCTAATTAAAATTGTTATCTTTTTTTTATTTTTAGGAAGCTTTGATGGCTGGTCTAGAGAATAAACAGCCAAAGATAGTTGTTGGCTGTATCACAGCTCTACGTTTGGCATTGAGGTAATAATTTGTAATAATTTTAATGATATTTGTACGAATGTCGTTATCTTGTTTTGCTTTGTGATTTATGAAAATTTGAATAAAAAAGTATGTTTATGGAAAATATTCCTCTTCATGTTATTTACAGTAATCTGATAGGTCTAAGGCTGCGCCAATACAGTTCATTTTCGATACGATACGTATTGACGATACAGCAAGCCGATACGTGATAAATATTGCGATACATTGACGTCAAGATTTAAACCCTGTGATGTTACAAATATCTATAAAGCCCCTTCTACAACTCAAAATTAAATCTGTTATTGAAAAAGGTTGAGGAATGCACATAACCTATATGATCTCCCTCTGAGCAATTAGTACATGAAGTTCATATTTCAAAGTTTTATTGCCAGTCATTATTCTTCAGTAGAAGTGAGGTTAAGATTCACTTCATCTTTGAATTGGACAAAACTAAAGTTAAGTACTGTTTTGACATCTGGACAAGCTCTGTTGCTATTTTATATATGTTATGGTAATAATTGGCTGAAGTAGCCTACAGTACCTACTGAAAAATACTACAGGACAATATTTTAGTCCTTAATGTGCACCCATACATCTGAGGCTTTTTTTTTTTTTCATTTGAAATACTTATTCAAATTATGACTGAATAAATTTTCTTTTCCAACAGAGATTTCGGAACCAAAATTATATCAGTGAAGCCCTTGATAAAAGTTTTACCGAAGTTGTTAGAAGATCGAGATAAAGGTGTCCGAGAGGAGACCAAGTTATTGTGTATTGAATTATATAGATGGATTGGAGCTGCTCTTAAACCTCAGATGTCCCATTTTAAACCAGTGCAGGTATACAATTAACTTACGTTAGGGGCGTAAAATGTTTTTTAGATCCACTAGCCCAGCATTGATTTCCACTATTCCGTGGTTGGACAAAATACAAGCTTTAATATTAGCCAGCATGTAAAATAAAACTTGATAAATGGAATAATTGAAGAAGAGTGGGTGAGAATGCTAATGTCTGCACAAAATTCTCCTTCCTTGCACACATAGTCATAGTACATGAACATCGGGGATGCTATAAATTTGCCCATCGGACATTTTTAGTTGAAAAAAAGAAATATTGAAAATTTCAGTCAAATTTTTGGTAACGTCGGGCTGCTGGCGACCGATATAAATATTGATACTGATAATTTGAATGCTAACTGCTTTGTCATTTATTATAGCTGTCATAATGAACCAAAGCGAAAATCGAAACTAAAAGCCAATTCCTGGCAGTTATTTTCCGTCTCAGTTTATAAATCTTTGATTTGGATTATTGACTGTCTGATATCGATCAAAACATTCTAATGTGCGCTGATAACATAATTATTGGCCTATACTATGTTGTAATCAATGATTTGACTGGCACTGAATTGCTGCCTGTTGGAACCCTCGTTACAACGCTGCTTCCATTTGACATATATAATAATTCATTTTTCTATGTACCCATTCTAATATTTTTGACCAATGTTCTTTAGGTTCAGGAACTTGAAACAGAATTTGAGAAATTACCAGCACAGAAAGCCAAACAATGTAGATTTCTACGATCACAACAAGATCTGAAAGCTAAAATGGAGGAAGAAACTGCTAATGCTGAAGAAGGTGGTGGAGATGGTGGAGAAGGTATAAAAGAAGAAATTTGATTGAATTTATTGTAAAATGATGAAAGCATAATTTACTTACAGTATCAGTCCTTCACGCTTAAGACACGCTTTTGCTCAGGGTAGTCACTAAATACGCCTGCAAATTAGCGAAATCGCCCTCCTAAATATTGAAATTCATAAACTAACATATATTATCAGTTTTGTTTATTTTTAAAACTGCATATGTTTGAGTATAGTGACCTCCTCCTTCGAGCTATGAGCGTTTCCATGGTAAAACTTGGGCTGCCATAATTATTCACCAAACATATTGAATGCTAATGTAAGGCTTGTTTTAATTAGATAGAAATATAAAATCAGCCAATAGAATATGATATTACTTGACAGCCCACGGGAATGATAGAATGACACGTCTAATAATAACATTACGTTGTTTAAAATGTTTTCATATACCGCTTGTCTCTTTGGCATTCATGTTGATTATCACTATCAATATGTCGGGAGATGGTCAAAACTGTCAAGTATGCAACATTTTTAAATTGGAATTGCTGGAGGGCAAATAGCCACAGAGGGGGGCAAAAATGGGTTTGTAAAATTGGTTTGGTCTTTAGTGCAAATTGTGTGCTAAGCATGCTGACAAAATAATCAAACTGACGAAAATTTATAGAACATATAAATGACATAATAAAGAGAATTTGACTCTCCTCAATTTAAAAAAAAATGTAGAATTACTCTTGCAAAATAATTAAGATTTTTTTTTATGGGAGCTTTTTTCTCATTTTGGAAATTGACGGGAGGTTGTTATGACTCATGCACCATTTCGTAAACGTGAAGGACTACTAGATTCTGTCTTCACTAAACCAAACATTGTATGTGCATTTATCTATCGTTTGACATTCAAAATGATCCCCATTTTGATACATATGCAATTTCCATAAGACAGTCAGTTATTCAGGCTGAAGAATTATGATTTACTACTACTTTCATTAAACATGCATTATGCAAGAGCTAATCTGATTATTGCAAGTCTTAATTTAGGCTTCAGATGTTATAGAAATTATAAATTAGATCTTTATTTAAACAACAAGACCAAAATCAACTCTGTAGACCCACGGATGGCTCGGCTACAGCTCGGATTTAAATAGGATTTCACTAATTGATTAAATCAAATAAGCGGTAACCTGATGAAAATACGTCAGTTAGATCGAGGCTAAATGATAGAGTGTACTTAGCGAGGCCGCTGTAAAGCGTTTCGGTATGCCATTGAAAACTTTACTTGATAATCGAGATGTGTAGGTGGAGTTAACGCCTGTCAATCAAACGATCAGCGAAGGTGAAGACACAATTCGCTACCATTTCTAGGCAAATATTACAACGATGATAACTATGTTCAGAATAAAGTAATTTGACTGAATTTTTCAATATATTCTTCTTTCATCATCTACTTTTGAACTGTTATAGCAAGAATGGCCAACTCTCTATAAAAATCTTCCATAATGTATCTTTATTGTTATTTCACTTTTATGGTAGTATAATTACTGAATGAGGTACTAAAAATAATTTGAATTAATTTTAAATGATGTGTGTTTAATTTCAGATGATGGAGCTGCTGAAGAAATAGATGCATATGAATTGATTGAAGCTGTAGATATTATAGCTCTACTGCCTAAAGATTTCTATGATAAAATAGTAAGAATATATTTTGTGCATTTTATGATCATTAAACATTATTGGCCAGAGTGACTGAAAATAGGAAATACAGTAGTGAATCTAGATTAAAGCATGTCTCATTATTATAAAGTGTACCATAGGTTCCCGTTCACAACTCAATTATGAATTTCCTCTTACAAATTTGAGTTCTAAGGGAAGATGGATAGCCTACCCATTCTTCCAAAATATATTTTAAAAAAGATGGCTTTTTTTTGAACATTATATCTACATACTGAAATTTTTTTTTTAGTAAAATCACTCTAGATGAAATTATATCAAATGCAGGCAGTCAACATTACTAATTCATATAAATAGCAATCTATATACGTAGAATATATATTGAATTACTTTAAATGAAAGAAAATGCTGTTATTTTTGGCGTCATTTTAGGAAACATAAAATGTCTCTTTTGAATTGGACAGATGCATGGCAAATTTATTGTACTTTCAGATATTAAAAATTGCTATTATATGCATTAATTTCTTCAAAATGTTAATGCAGTAATACATTATCTAAATCTGAAGTTTTATGGGATATGATTTACAAATTTATTATTAATTTGAGAATTAAGAGTGTATCCGCGAGAAGACCATGCAAAAATCGCAAAAGGTACTAAGATGGGGGATCGGAAGTTTTTGATCACACTTCTGGTATGACACCCCCTAGGTGCAAGAGGTGACATGCTGAAGTGGTTGCAGCGCCTGATGTCGCTCTAAGGGACTGTACTGGAACTATTCCTTTTATGGGTAAAATTGCGGTTTTTACATGTGTATTTATCACCCTTTTTAAGCACAGATTGCATTCTATGGTGCAATAGCAACCTTCTAATTTTGACCCTGTCTGATAAAGCGGGTAGTCGACTTCCAGCCAAGCACTAATTTGAAAAAAAAATCAATACATACTAATTTTGTGTGGACTTGTTTTAGGGTACCATATTCACATTGCCCTTATAGTACAGAAAAAGATACACTGTAACTTTTTCTTTCATGGTGGCAAGAAGAATTTCTTTTGTTGGTTTTGAAGTGCTAAGCACATAGTATCCATAGGTGTAAAAAAAAAATGACCGGAATGCAAATATACAGCTTATTGAAAAGTGCTAAAAATAAGCTTTTGTGATACATTTTTTGCAAATTTAATTAGAGAAATAAATTTTTTGACTTTTATACATTTTCATCATACCCATAGCCATCATTTGTACCATGTTGTACTGTATATAAGTGTGTACAGTGGACTCTGTCACATACGACATTGTACGCGATCGTTACAATAATTCGGATCACACAGCGTTTCGGAATACTGAGCTTTCTCCAAAACCGGAAATACTGTAACTTCGAAAACCAGAAGTATTTTTATATTGTAGCTTCGAATCACCAGAATGCTATTCCCTTTATAAATGATAAACTTTTCTGTACTTTCAAAATTTTATTACATTAAATAATTGGTGTAAAATCGTTTCTTACTGCAGTTTAAATTATCGGCAAACTTCTGTTTAAATTCATCTATACGCTTTAATATGTCTGACACTGTAGCTCGGCCAATTGAATACTTAACGGCTAAATCCTTCTGCGCAGGTCGTGAAACTTTCTCGAAATCTGCTATACGTTGCCGCTTTACATCTAATGTCAAATCTGTTCTGGCACGCTTTGCATGACGTTCAGACATTTTGAATACAATAATGTATAATGATTCTTCAATCGCGGCAATTTTTATATAATGTCGCGGTATTTGACATGAGTAACTAAAATCAAAAACCAAGCGCACTCTTACAAGAGATTATAAATTGTAAAAAAATCAACAAAGAATTTATAACATTATCAAAGTAATCAGCACAGACCGGCGCTTGCGAGTTTTAATCTCACCGATAATTGATTGGTGATTGCTTGTTAATCTTTTCTGGCTTCACACCCATTGAGTTTTAATCTCACCGATAATTGGATGCTTCTGCGCAGGTCGTGAAACTTTCTCGAAATCTGCTATACGTTGCCGCTTTACATCTAATGTCAAATCTGTTCTGGCACGCTTTGCATGACGTTCAGACATTTTGAATACAATAATGTATAATAATGATTCTTCAATCGCGTCAATTGCGAGTTTTAATCTCACCGATAATTGATTGGTGATTGCTTGTTAATCTTTTCTGGCTTCACACCCATTGAGTTTTAATCTCACCGATAATTGGATGCTTCTGCGCAGGTCGTGAAACTTTCTCGAAATCTGCTATACGTTGCCGCTTTACATCTAATGTCAAATCTGTTCTGGCACGCTTTGCATGACGTTCAGACATTTTGAATACAATAATGTATAATGATTCTTCAATCGCGGCAATTTTTATATAATGTCGCGGTATTTGACATGAGTAACTAAAATCAAAAACCAAGCGCACTCTTACAAGAGATTATAAATTGTAAAAAAATCAACAAAGAATTTATAACATTATCAAAGTAATCAGCACAGACCGGCGCGTGCGAGTTTTAATCTCACCGATAATTGATTGGTGATTGCTTGTTAATCTTTTCTGGCTTCACACCCATTGAGTTTTAATCTCACCGATAATTGGATGCTTCACACCCACCGTTTGAAGTACGGATTATATAGTGCCGATTCAATGGAAATTATGTGATGGGACGGCTGATTGATGTCGGAATCCGGAACATACAGAATTCGGATTTACCAGCGATTTTTTGGCTGAAGTAATAAGGAAATAAATCGGGACATGAAAATCATGTCGGATGTCACAGCAATCCGAAGTGATCAGAGATCGGATGTGACAGAGTCCACTGTATTTGTATTTATTGTATACAAGAAGAATGCCCGGCTTCGCTCGGGGGTCATAACCCCGAAACTGGAAGTGGTAGACTAACGCCACCTGGCCTATATTACTTCCCGGTCCGAGCTACCCCTATACCCCAAATTTCAGACTCGGGGCAGACCTAGTGTAGCCGCCAACCCCGAACAGACAGACAGACAAACGACAGTCACAAATATTAGTATAGAAGATTTGGTATTGTCGTATTGTCCCTTTAACATATTTGTTGTCTCTTTAAGATTTCATTTTCCAACAGGTTACCGAAAATGGCTACAAAATGTTTAATTTCAGAGCATGTTTCCACTATTCATTTTGGGACACATCCACTGATTTCTACAATACAGAAATGTGGAAGCTTAAATATTAACGGCAACGAAGCCTTACGTCGAAGTGGGCGACGTTGAACAGTGTAGTATGGTAGCTACGGCTCTCGGGCACCGTCAGCTGCACCTTCAGGGCCGGATTTAGAATAAGAGAGGCCCTAGGCAAACCCCCTGAACAGGGCCCACGGTCATGCGGTTGGTGGTTCGAATCTCACTTTTAGGTGAATTTTTCATTTTTGTTTGGATTATTTTATTTAAAATAATGTCTATTTGAGAGTAATGGATATGTTTGTTAAGATTGAGCACAACTGGACAACTGCAGAAGCCAATTCCCGTCGGCGCCAGATGAGCCATGAACGATTAGAGGCCTTTGAAAGTATTTTTTTTTCAAGACATTTTTATAAAACAGATACTAATGTATTTTAGTGCTGGTAGTAAACACCATATGAATGAAAAGGAAAATAAATTGTTAGGGTTTTTTTATCTGCTACGGTTAAATATCTCCAAAATAGGGAAATTAAAGGTTAATTTCATGGGTTATTGTTTCCTTTACCTAGTTTTTGTCAAGTCGATTCCGGTCATTTTTATTTTTTGTATCAAATATTGGGAGGTTGCTTGTTCACGTGAGCATAAATTTTTTAAACCCACCCCAGGAAAGAAGTAGCTATAGGGCGTCAAACTTTGGGTGACGAAAAATGGGGAATTTAGACAGGCTTTGATATCCAGTCCGTATACAAATCTCGGTCGCCAGAATCGTCTGAAGTTAATTTTGTGGTAACAGCAGTGAGTCATCTACAAACTGTGTGAGTTTGGTCTCTCTGCTACGTATAGTAAAGGTGTAAGGACTTGCCAAAGTTGGTATTTGAGAAAAGACAGATTTTGGTAATTTCACCATATGAAAAATATTTTTTCAATTTTCTCAGGCAGGATTTGAAAGATTTATCTGATATTGTACATTTATGTGTTTTGGGACTATCCCAACTTATAAACCAAATTTGGTCAAAATCTGTGATTGAAGTCTTAGCACCTTCTGCATGGTTTTCTCACGGACACGCTCTTAGAGTGCATTGGCAAATTTGTAACATTAGCTCTACAATTTGAAGAAAATTTCTATATAGTGTTAATGTAATTAGTCACTGACAGTTTTATATGAAAAATAAAGCATATTAATAAGAATGTACGATTAATATAAAAGCATATATTTTGATAACCTAAAATTCAGACATTTACTGAAAATGCAAATTTTGCTAATGTTACATAAGGACAGACATGGACATTTTATAAATAACTGGAATTATTGTTTTTATACGCAATGAAGCAAGCTTTAACTTTAAAATCGTACAAAACATTATTTTAAAAGCATGTGCTAATGTTATAGAAGAATATATACTATTTAGTATTTATACGTCCTCATTTTTATGTGGACGTATTATGCCGTCGCCCCTGTCTGTCTGTCCGTCCACAATTGTTTATGTGGACTGTGTACAGGTCACAATTTTTATCCGATTTTAACGCAACTTAAAATATGGGTCTTTTGCTAAAGATCTTGTGTATCAAGAGGGCTAACATAACATTTTCAGACATACAGCTGTAATAATAACAAATGATCGCCTACCTGTGTCACATTACAATCTCCTGTGTGATAGATCGAGACTACGCACAAATTTCGTGTGCAATGGTTATTCCAATTCTATCATGTAGTATGAAGTAGCTGAAAAGAATTATTAGAATAACACTAAAGTTTTACTGTAACTGGAAGACACAAATTGGATGAAACGTTACTAGCAAAATTATTTAAATATAAGCATAGAAATTTGATTTTTCAATCTAATTTTCCGCCATTTTTAAACGACATATACTAAAACATAAACAGCCATTCCAGAAAGGGACAAATATTTTTCCATGTGACAAGACAAGACAAATATATGTAGTGGATGGACAAACCAGTCAATTTTTAACTGAGGTTTGAACAAATCAATTTTCAGATCGTTTATTTTTCTCATCAGTATATTTTTATGTCTGTTTTAAAGAAGACACACTAACCATTATAATTATGCAAAAACAAATTAAAATAAATGTTATTTCAAAATATTCTAAAATCTTGGAAATGAAATGATGGGAAAAATGTCTATCTTAAAATATTTGTAATTTATTTTAATCAAAAAATGCATCAATAAACCTGCTATTAAGTATTTTATATGTTTTTTTTTATGTGCTGATTTTGAAGATAAGAAAAAATATTTATTAAAAGTTCTTTCCTTTTTCTAAAAAAACCCAAACTGTTACGTTTGTTTAATACCCACTGGTACCATTTATAATAAAATATGCCATAAGTGTTGACAGAAGATGTTAATATCTGTTTTTTGTTTTTTTTATTGTAGGAAGCCAAGAAATGGCAAGAAAGAAAAGAAGCTTTAGAAGCTTTACAGAGGCTTGCTGATAATCCTAAGATCGAAAATGGAGATTTTGCTCCATTACTCAAATGTGTTCTAAAGGTAATAAAAGGTCCATTCAAATAGGTGTCACAACTCCATTGCTCGCGTTGGAAGAAAGTGTTTTTTTTTTTTTTTAATTTGTAACCTTTATTCAACTTAATGTCAAATAGTCCCTATTTAATCTTTTGTAATATTTTAACTGATTTTGAAAGCCGATATCTTATCGTTTGGTTTGATATAATTTTATGTACCTGATCTTTTTATTAATTTCATAATTATAGGTTGAAAAATGTCAATTTTGCGTGTTTTGACATTAAAGTAACAAATTTTGTCACTTGTAAATTGGACACTCAATATCAAAATTAATCAGTCAGCTTTAAATTGGACACAAGTACAAATTAGATGATTTTGGATGATTTTAAATGATTTTTGCAAATTTTTAAACAAAGATTTGATATTAAATGAATGTGAAAGAAATTAGTGCTAAATACACAAGATTAAATGATACCCGGGTTACAGTGTTAGTGACTATAGTGAATAAATGGGGACATTTGAGTAGGACTATCGGATGGATACCAATACTCGATGGTCACAAGACAATTTATTCAATAATTTATCATTATATAACAGCTCTCATACTTTATATTATAATTTTAATTTCGTTGTTTTTGGTGAAATTCATTTAACATCTATTTATATTTGTTGCCCAGTCAAACAAACTGAAACTACGTACCGTTGAAACACTTTGATATCGTTGAGGAAAATATACTAATCACAAAGGACAACACTATATTCAAATTTAACAACATTGTTTTATGTTTCAGGTTATTGCTAAAGATACCAATGTTATGTTGGTAGCCCTTGCAGGAAAATGCCTAGCTGGTATTGCTAAAGGTCTTCGAAAAAAGTTTGCACCATATGCAGCTAATGTGAGAATAAATTAAATTTTAAAGTTTTTGGGGGTCACAGTCGACGAGTAAATGATTTTTTGCAGGGGTCACAGTCTATTAGTGGATGAAGGACTGCCTTGATTTGGTTATATGCTTTTCAAATGACATAAAATGTATTCTAATGACAATCACTATTTTATTACTTTCAATTTTATTCAGTAACTAACGAACTAATTGATGGAGATTTGCATTAGACATTATTTCTCAAAAATGATGATTTTACTTTGTATTGCTCAGTAAGATATTGAGAATATAGCTGAAAATTAAATTGCTGCTATTAGCTGTTCTTTAAAGTTTAAAATACAATGTTTATAATGTAGATCATATATTTTAAAAGAATGAAATATTTATTAAATATAGAGTATGTCAACTATAATAGATAAATTTAAAGAAAAGAAACCAACAGTAGTAGCAGCTTTAAGAGAAGCTAGTGATGCTGTGTATCTTACCGTAAGTATTTATCTTATATCTATAGAACACTTTAGCATAGTGTGGCTATCAGAATTCAAATAATTATATCCTGTGTTGGCCTAGAAGTTCATCGGGATGTTCTGGCATGGTTCCCCCTTGTCGGTGATGCAGCACAGTGACAACATATAGTTGTTCAGATTGAACAAAAAAAACGTCACGTGTACACATCGTCCTGCACGTAAAAGAACCCTTGGTACTTGGATTTCTATATAAAAGTAGGCTGTAGCGCAGCTTTCCAGGCAAAATTTCCTCAAAAATACTGTATGGTGTAGCCCAGTCGCAGCAGAAAAGTAGTATGTTAAACTTCATTTTTAAGTTTATTAATTTGATTAATTCCAGACTAATTTAGAGGTGATGACTGAAGATGCTGTGGCTGCATTAGAAAATAAAAATCCACAAATTCGAGCTGAGACAGCATTATTACTAGGTCGTTGTTTCTGTAGATGTACTCAATCTAGTCTACCCAAAAAGATGTTAAAAATATTTTGCACCAGTTTACTAAAGGTAAAATAACTATCTTTCTATTATTTAATAAACTTTTAGACTTTGCTGAAATATAGAAAATTTGTTGGAAGCTGTTTATGGGGTTTGACATTTAGTTAGTTCATGTTGTTTCACAGAGTTTGTAAGTTAATGTTGCATGTGCTCTATGTAATTGCTGGGACGGACAGGAAAATTAATGATGTGGGGGAATTTATTTTGAAATTATTTTAGACAGTAAAACCTATGTACAATTTTGTTTACTGTTCGTTTACACACATTCAAAATTTATTGTTCGATTGTATACAAAAAAAAAAAACGGGGTCCCATGTACACTTTGGTGTTAACGTAAAAAAAAATTAAAAAAACCCTTGACAATTGAAATTCGGTATAAGAGTAAGCAGCAGCTCCACTGTCTGGGCAAAATCTCCATCCCTCATAGCATACTGCATGGTGTATGCCCATCTTCATTAGCCCAGTCGGTGCATAAAAGTAGGATGTTAAACCCTAATTCATTTCTGTATATGCCTTTCTATTGTTATTGAATTTTATAAAGATAGGAAATAATAAGTAATTGTATTTCCAGACTGTAAATGATACTACAGGGGAAGTGAGAGAAGCATCATTTCAAGCATTAGGTACAGCTATGAAAGTTGTCACAGAAAAAAATATAGCTCCTTTCCTAGTGGATATTGATCCTATTAAATTGACCAAGGTATTTATATTAATTCAGATTAATAATCAAATTGATGAAATAGATTTACTGTATTGCATCACATACACTATTGTTGGATCACTTGGAAAAATTCACAATTGAAAAAAAAATGTGTGCAAATATCACTTGCTTTTCTCCCATTACATGTAAAACTGTCTTCAACTGCAAAGTGAAAAAATAAAATTGAACAAAAATCATTAATTGCATATAAAATTTACTTTCTTCCAGATTCAAGAATGTTGTACTAATGCTGTACTGTTAAATGCTAAAGGTGAACCCCGAGGTGGAGGAGCAGCAGCTGCACCCAAAATGTCTGAACCAAAAGTTGTTAAACCCAATAGTGCTAAAGTTACCAAGGTATTATTTGTTACTAATGTTGGAAATAGAATTTCTAATAAAAATCTAAAATTCTGGTTTTATTAGTTGAAATCAAATATGACATCTTTGAATTGGGTTATGGTATTGAATTGAAAGTGATGAGACAGAATCTACACAGTTCAATTTTTTGTTTCAAAAGATTATGCTAAAGCTGGATAGTTTACATTCAAACTAAAAAAATTGAAGTGAAATGGACATTTTAAATTTCAAACTAAGTCAAATAGGTCTAGTAGTTATTTTATGGTAAAATAGATGTACGGAATACAAAATGGCATTGCCAAGAGAAAATGTTTGAAATTGCTTTTACAGAACATTTCAGATCCAATATTAATTCCACTATATTATTATATCTTTCAATGAAGCAGACGAGAAGATACAGGGTTTGTTTTAATACATCTGTGTATTTCTAGAAGCAGTGTGTTCATATTTTCATTTAAAGCTTAATGTTCACATATTGTATTGTGCCAGTGTTATAGATGTGTTATATGTATAAGGCTATTGAATTTAATATTAACTGGGTGGGGTCGAACACAATGTTTTGTAGAACCTCTCCCCTGTTCCCCCATCTACGAATTAATATGTATTTTATTCACACCTCCAGCAATAGAATTGTAAATAATAACAGAGCATTTTTTTCAAGATTTCCATAACCCAACCACCAAATCATTTTATAAAATGACGATCCCATGTACCCAGTTAATTTTAAATTGCCTTTGATATTGTGGTTTATTTGTTAGATATTTTACTGAAGAAAATATAGAATCCAGATAAGAAAAATCCAGCATTCTAGCTGTGTCATCAAAGATCTGGACATTGCAGTTATAAGAGAACAATTGCTGTAACTGATTTGTTAAGAAAGTACATAAATTTGAATTTTTGACATACAACATTTAGGCTAACAGAAATGACATCATCTCTGTGATCATTCAATTTCCTACCTGACTACTGGAAGTTCTGTATGTTAAATTTTGGATCAAGATTTTTAGTGGAATGAGATAAAGCAAAACTTTCTGTATTTTCTTTGGTAAAATATTGTAAGCATATACATGGTTTTCTTTCACATTTGTTTATTTATTTGTTGTGTTTTCAGCCTCCAGAATCTAAACCACCAGTACGTACTCTTTATGTTCTTTAGTTATTTTTGTAAAATATTCTATTGCAATCTGATTAAAACACAGATCCTATAGTTTATAGTTCAAAATTTCATTTAACTTGTCTTTACTACACTTTTATCTGGAAGAGTTGTTATCATAATCATTGACGTATTCAGAATGATGTGAGCTATTAGCCAATGAAACGGTCGGTTACGGCAAGCTTTAGGCGTGATTGGCATGGAACTGTGGGTAATCCACTAGTAACACATCAATGCTGATTGGTTAATCAAATGTCTGACGTCATAGGGTCAAAAGCCGCTCGTATGACCTCTTACCCGACCTATCGCTACAACCGGCCAGATCTTCATGTAGTGTAGGCCATCGAAAGTATAAAAAAAACGAAACGAAATATAGATGTGTTTTAATGAGATTGATTATATTGTGTATCTCACAAATGAAATCTGTGGATCACTGACAGCAATTTAGTTATTGTGCTTATATGTGTTCACTGCCATACAGTTATTTTTTTATTATTCTTGAATCCTTATAGATGTTGGCACATCTAATTAACAAGCCTATCTGAAACCATCATTAGCAACTCATGTACCCCCCTTTTTTTAACTTCCAATACCAGCTCTGTTGGACTGAACAGAACAGCATTTTATGTGCCAAATAACGATGGTTAACAATGGTTTGATTTACTGTGTAGAATTTACAGCAAAATTAACCTGGAACAAAATTCATTCTAAACCGACTAAAATGTATTTATTTAAACAGGAAGTAGGAAAAAGCAGGTGAAACAAACTATAGGATTAGCCAGTAGACTATAAGCAGTCAAAATTAGACAGGAATTATACTTATTGATACATCATGTAGATTTATCAAATGCTAATGGGTCACCTATTTTATGTTATAATGCACTTATGTAATGTTGTTTTGTATTTTCACTAGTCTGACACCGGCTCTAAACCTGCTTCTAAACCTAGTGCTGTAAGTAACACATAGTAGATATAACCTTTATTTATACACACGTCCACTAGCACTTACTCATGTATTTCTAAATTCTATGATAGTTGTTAATTCTAGAACTAAGATAAAGCTTATTTCCTCCATCTTCAATAATTGAAACATTTGAAATGAAATGACATGGGGGATTTAAATGACAATACAGAGATCATTTCTACGATAGATGCGTTATGAAGATTTAAAAAAACGGAAGTGACGAACGCAAAAGGAAAACACAAGTTATCCTTCTATATAACTGACTGGAGTGACAAGTGATAACATATACACTGGCGAATTTCTGCCCACTAATAATTCCTTCAAAGACCAAAAGTTGTTATATGAGACTGTGGAAGGATATCTGACAATTCAAAAAATGAATTGACTGTCACTAGATAAGAGAAAATGAAAGTGTTTTGAGTCCGCGTGCTTAGTCCTGTTGAGTGGATATTCAACCCCCTGTCCACTTCTTTCTGATAAAAGTTTACAGATAAATTTCACATGCAATTCTTAATAAAAGATATATATAATAATATTATCTACAGGGAGGTAAAAAGAAAGCACCAGTTAAAGGTAAAGGAAAGAAAGGTGGAAGTAAAGAAGAAGTTATTGAAAATGCATTATCTGTAAGTTTTATGTGTAGTTCTATTTTAAAGTAATTGATACAGCAAAGAGTACATACTGTCTACTATCAATTTTGTGCTCTGGTTTTAATGCTTGATAGTTATGGTGCGGGCACTGAAGGTGTGTGCTTACCCTCCAAGGGCACGCTCAAGATGATTTAGAAACTTATTATGCAGTCTGTCAAGATACCATATTTTGGTGAAGTGGGTGGATTTTTCTAATACATTGATATAGTAATAGTATAGGATTTAAGACAGGATCGTGCACCTTAGAAATACAATTTACAAAGCACAAGAAAAATAAATTAATTTATCTTTGTAAACTCCTTAACTAACAGGTGGTATCAGATGCTAGATGTATATATTGCTGCTCGCCAAAAAATAAAATTGTTCCATCTGGTTTACTTCAGTTTAAATACAAAATCTATCTAGGCTTTTAATGCTGTTCTGTGGGTTTTAAATCTGTAATATTGGGGAAGCATTACCAGCATGATAAATTAGATATTTTTCGGCTTCGTTTAGCGTTATCTCTGTGAGGTTTGTACCAAATCTTGGTGAGATATTCTAATATACAAGCCCTCTCAATACCAATACAAAATGCAGTGTCTTCAAAGGGGAACACAGTGACAGCTACTCATTTGAAGGAGACAGAAATTATCTCCAATGTGTGTTTGAATCTAACCTGGTATTTTTTTAAGAGTAATATTGAGAGAAATATTTGATATTGACCTGAGCCCTGTTTCAAAAAACTTCAATCTCCTTAAAATGGTCTTACTCTTTAACTAAATTTCATCCTAACTTAAGATAGATGAGTTTCACAAAACGATTATAAGCATTTTAGATAAAATCCACTAAAAAAATAATATTGTAAGTTAAAATTGTATCTTAACTTAAAATAGTAGCGTTTCACTAAACTATTTTAGGGACAATTTTAACTAAAATTAATTTTAACTTAAGACAGCCATCAGCCTCTCCTAACTTAAAATCACGACATTAACAAACATTGATTAGGGCTGCATTGTTAGATATATTGTGACATATAGATAGATTTGGAATAATGATAATAATAATATTGCCAATGGCCTGGGTCACATAATTTTAACATCCCATCATTCACAAAAAAAAATCTCAATCAATTTCTTTTCATAGCATGTGAAATACAGCTACAACCCACCCGTTTATTTTATTGTAAGGCTATTTAAGCAATTAGATGATGCCCCAAATTAGAACCCCAAGAACAAAAAACACCCAAAACCTCAGTAAACAAAACTCATTGTTATTGTTTTATATATTACCATATGAGTCAAGTATAAGTTATACTATTTTCAAATAATTAACAGACAGAAAAAAAAAAAATCTGAAGTCACTTCATATCTAATGTCATGGACAGAAAAGCACCCTGTCTTGTCTATAAAGAAATATCTTCGTGCAGGTCTACAATTGATTAAATTGGCCAATTTCTTGGTATTAGAATGCCTAGAGGCCTATAATATGCAAGGTATTTACTCATATGGTTTTGGGGTTGTGATGATTTGTAAAAGGATAAATCAATAATCTCAAATGTCTTTATTGAAAAATGTCATAGCCCTATTTGAAATTACATTTTAATATCATAAATTTACTATTATTTCTTAATCAAGGCTTACGTTAATACACAACGTAAATCAGAGAAGTTTTACGAGTCAAAGGTATTTTATCTTTTGGGGGGGGGGGGAATATTTTAATTTAGTAAGATACAGGGTGACCCCCCCAAAAAAACAACCAATAAAATTTTTATTTGGGAATGCTCACTGGGCTGGGGGAGCACTAGTCTGCAGGTGCACTAGTCCGCCACTATAAAAAATACTATAAATATGGATATCAAAAAACCCATTATTGACATGCATTATTTCCATTGAAACCTGCGAGTAAATCAAATGCCACCATCACAATAGCGGCAGGCAAGTTCAAGGCCAACCCATCGATACATTTCGAAACGAATAATACGTAATAAACTCATTTATTTCATCTCTATCTACGACTGTCTGAACATATGCAAACATTCCTACAGCGTATGAAACTCTCCCCATTGGTATTGTAATCGTTAGTTCAAGCTGTCAACAGATTTCAGTTCCGAAGTGCCCTCACTGGAAATGTGCACTGCATGGGTGCAAGCAATTTTAACTAAGATCTATTAAAATTGCATTTTAAGTTACAATCGATCTTTGTGAAACACATAAAATTTAAAATTTCATTTTGATTTTAGTTAAAAAATCTATTTTGCTTAGCTTAAGTTTTTGTGAAACAGGGCCCTGTTCTGATAATATGAAGTGTGTGTATTTATAGGATGAAGCTGTAGAAGAGAAAGCAGCCAGTTTATTACCAGGAGATACACTAACTAGTTTAACTAGTTCTAACTGGAAAGAAAGATTAGCTGGAATGGAGAAATTCACACAGGTTTCAATAATTTCTATTCTTTAGCTACTATATTGAATCAATAATCACCTTTGTCTATACTATAAGCATATTGTTTAAATTGAAGCTCTTAATCTTAATGGTTCAAACCTGAAAAATAAAACGAATAGGGAGAGCAGTGTGTATATCTGCCATGCTTTTTGAGAGGATAACCACACTTTGCTGATATGTTGGTCATCAAACTATTAGTTTTTATTCCCCAAAAAATAATTTTCTATGTGTTGGGTAAATGTTTGATATTTGCTTAACATACTGGCACCAGATAATGTTTACGACAAAAATACACATATTAAGCAATTTACCCCCCAAAAGAACTCTTATCAAATGAGTAGTCATCAAGTAGAAGTGTTAGTTTAATTTCACTGACTTCAGATTTTCAGTAGTTTAATAAAGAAGAAATAAAATGGTTTTGTATTACACAGATACATTCAGCTGAATTGGGCACATTCTCTCCTGAGAAGGCAGCATACTTATGAAATTCATTTGTTTTGTTGATATTTTGTTTGATATTTATAGGTTGTAAAAGGTTTATGTAAAGATGATATACCATGTCAAGTGTGTGTACGAGTTGTTGATAGAAAACCGGGTCTTAAAGATACAAACTTTCAGGTAAGAAACACCACCTTATACTTTGATTTCAATGCTGACATGGTACCAGCAACCAACATCAAAATTGTGATCATGAGCATCTCTGAAAAAAGCAAATCCTGTACCAGCCAAAGCTTTTGTTTAAGCCAATATTTGTTACTGATTGTTGCATTTTTTCGATAAAGCCCTATTAATTGATTGATAATTTAATGTATGCTTTAAGCATCCAAATTGAATATTGTTTGAAAACATAGTCATGTAGACAATAACCAGAAATTACAAGTTGTCTGAATCCTGATAAATAATCAGCATTGCATTGTTATTGTTCAGGTTTTAAAGCTTAGATTAGAGTTAATAGCACATTTGGCTAAGAATGCTGCGTTTAGTAAAAGATCAGCAGAGTTTTGTTTATCAGAGATAGTAGATAAAATTGGGGATGTAAAAAATGGTGGAGCAGCACAAGAAGCTTTGAGTTGTATAGCTGAAGCTATCGGTATAGATTTTGTTAGCCAGGAGGTGAGTTGTAAATTAAACTATCTGTCATCAAGACTGAATTTAACACCTGTACTTAGGCTCACCAGAAAACATTGTTTGTGTGTAAATTGGATATTTCATTTAAACGAAATATCGATCTGTATTTTAATCAGATTGGTCTAGAGAATGCAAACAGTTATTAAGTTATATTTATAGCACAGTAATTAAAAAAAAATCTAGCTTCTAACACTAAATAAACAACCTATGATCATTTTCTTACAGGTTGTAAGTTTAGCTTTCATACAGAAAAATCCTAAAAATCAGTCTGAAGCTCTAAACTGGTTGGCATTGTCAATAAAAGAATTTGGATTTAAGTAAGTAGTAAGACTATTTCTCACACTGAAATTATGTTGCACTTTGATATTTGTGTATTGATTCCAATAAACATAAATGAAGAAAATAATGGTAGTCAAACTGAAAAGACTGCAAGATTTGTTTTGAGGTTTCATCAAAAGAAGTGTGGCGATGGGGGTGGGGTGGATGGTATTCCATTTATCTTTTCCATCTTTTAAAGAAAAAATGTTTTAAATTTTTTTTGTAGGATAAATATTAAACCAATGCTAGAAACCATCAAGAAAGCTTTTGCTGCTACTAATCCCGTAAGTTTTATGGTCTTATGACAATTTATTTGTATGAAGTTTTTGTAATAGTAAAATTTATGTAATTTTGTGTGGAAAGCGCTAAATCTAGAAAGATGATTGGATTGATCCACTCTTGACAAATAAGTATACAATATTTATGTGAGGAATTTTAATAGTTTCTGTTCTTAATCTTCAAAACTATCATTGATCTTAATTTAATATAATTACAGGCTGTACGAACTTCTGCTATAACTCTATGTGGTGTTATCTACATGTATATGGGACCTACACTACGTGTGTTTTTTGAAAGTGAAAAGCCAGCTCTACTGCAACAGATAGATGCAGAATTTGAAAAGGTTAAAGATCAGAAGCCTACTCCACCTACCAGAGGTTCAACACCAGCAGCTGATGGTGGTGAAGATGAAGAAGAAGTTGAGGAAGTAGCAGATATACCTGTACAAGACCTTGTACCTAGAGTTGATATCATGTAAGTAATATCTGTGTAAGATCTATTACTTAATCATGATATCATATAAGTAATACCTTAGATCTAATATCTAGAAATGATATTTGAATAATACCTCTGCCAGATTAATTGTGCCAAAAACCAATATAACATCTAGAACTAATGTCATGATATTAATACCAATGCAATATCGAATGGATATTGTGCGAGTACTACCAGTACAATTTAATACTCGTGCAATTTGTAATAAGAGAAAAGTTGTTGTACATACCTTAAATGGATATGCAAGTAATTAATGTCAGGACAAATTCTTGTACTGTAGTTAAATTCTATATGCAAGTATCACAAAACAACTAAAACCATGGCAATGTTTATGATCTTCTGATAAAAAATAATGTTGTGGTTACTATGACCTCTTCTCATTGATATTACAGTGAAAAGATAACTCCTGAGTTATTAGAAGAGATGTCGGATAAAAATTGGAAGGTTCGTGGTGAAGCCTTGTCTAAAGTGACAGCCATATTGAATGAGGCTAAGTTTATAACACCTAATATAGGAACTCTTCCTGATGCTCTGAAACTGAGATTAGCAGATTCTAACAAGATTATGGTGAGTTTAGACTAGACATTCAGATTATGTAATACTAATTATAGATTTGGTCTGTATTTTAATTTCAATGAAATGATATATCATTCCATGTTCTGATCTAACTAGTTCTGTATCTATGTCAGTAACAATTGCCAGGGCTCACTCAAATATTAAATCCAAATCGTTTTGAAGGCTATTGGAACTGACTAGTGTTTGTTTTTATATCAATTATAATTAATGGAATTTCTTGTCAGTAAATGGACAGTGATTAAAGACAAAGACAAGCTGAAATTGGTCACTCCTCAGCTTGGCTAGTTTCTTCGACAGTGAAGTCAAGTTTGATACAATCTGATTAAAATACAGATCTATATTTCGTTTCGTTTTTTTATACTTTCGATGGCCTACATGAAGATCTGACAAGTTATAGCGATAGGTCACGTCATGGGTCAACGGACCGACTTTTGACCCTATGACGTCAAAGATTTGATTAACCAATCAGCATTGATGTTACTAGTGGATTACCCACAGTTCCGTGCAAAACACGGATAAAGCTTGCCAAAACAGACCGTTTCATTGGCTTAACCATGACACCATTCAGAACATGAGTTAAAATAACAACTCTTCCAGATCCTAGTGTAGTAAAGACAAATAAAACGAAATTTTGAACTTTAAAAACGAAACGAAATAGGATCTGTATTTTAACCAGATTGAGTTTGATATATATTTTTACGGCTTGAAGTATTTCCTTGGGATTAAATTGTTTACAGAGATATTTCAAACTCACTTTTGATAGATAAGTTAGTTGTAAAAATATGTTTTTATTCCAAATATATCACCAAGTCACATAGTTTGTATGTAGAAAGGCATCTTTAAAGGTATAATATTTTTAATTCTAGGTTAATACAACTATTGGTATATGTCAAGCATTAGGTACAGCTATGGGTCCACATTGTAAAAATCATGTTCGTGTAATAGGACCAGGTTTAATAGGCTGTTTAGCCGATGCTAAGGTAAGTTATTGGCCCCTTTGTAAGATCATCATTCATACTTAAACATAATGTAAAAGCTAAATCAGCCTATTGCAAGTCTCTCTTTGGGCCATAAATGTTATATAAGTTATTAATTAGACCATAATCCATGTCACATCAGATTGCTCCGATTTTAAGTAGATTAGATAGGTTCGGCCATATGATGATTTAATTTAAAAATGGTTTGAAAACTGTTAATTTTAGTACATAGTATAATATTTCTTTTCAGCCACAAGTGAGAACAGCAGCAACTAATGCACTCAATGTTTGGGTAGAACATACAACATTGACACCATTAGTAGAATGTGAAGCTTTAAGTGATTCACTGAAGATTGAGAACCCTAACTTGCGTACTGAGGTAAAGTCTCCCTATCTTCGTGAGATGTTCGGTTTTTCATAATGTATATTTTGAGAAAAAAATTTTGTGCATGTTTAATCTCTTACTCACAAAAGAACAGAAATGACTTAAAGTAGCTTAGTTTACACAATATCATCCAAAGTCTTCAACATGAATTATTGGTCAATTTAAATCAACATTGATGTTGTTATCTTACCGGGAAAGGATGGGCTTCTGATATCCAACGTTTAAGACAAAATAAACATTTTACCATTGGTACACGAATCGTGTACCATAATGCGTTTCAGAGCCATTTGTAACATCGGTGTAGACTGGAATAACCAGACGCTAGAAATTGCAATTCGATTGAGACTTCTGGCATATTTGCCAAACATAACTAATTAGAAATTACAGTAAAAACTGAAATGATTGAATGTAAATCAGATTATATACATTCATATTACATTATTATATGCGTTGCTGCCTATTTGAGTCAATTTCTAGGTCCCAAATATTAGCTATTTAGCTCCTTTAACTGCTGTGGTTATAATCTTGCATTAGGAGAGCGTAAAGCTTTTCTGATAAAAAGTTACCTAGACCTATACAGTTATTTTAGCATACAGGTATTTCAGCTTAATTTAAAACCAAGTACAAAACTAACCTTACCCATGTTCATTTAATTCATATGAACGAATGACTATGCAGTTGTTTTAACAAATATCTTTTTAATGATTGTAGCTTTTATCATGGTTGTCAGAAAAACTGCCATCTCACCGAATACTACCAACAGAAATCCGACAATGTATACCTCATGTTTTAAACTGTCTAGAAGATAGAAATGGTGATGTAAGGAAAAAGGCTCAGGAGTCTTTGGTGCCTTTTATGATTCACACAGGTTACGACAGTTTCCTCAAAGCCTCTTCTAAATTGAAGGTAGGTTTTTAAGAATAATGTTCTAATAAAGAGTACATGACTTTCATTTTGGTCGAATGGCTGTCTTTAATGAATGAAATCTGTTGGTTAGGTATGCAAGAAAAGGAGGCGGTTTTGTTACATCTGTACTGAAATTTGCAGGTGTGAAAATGTATGGAAATGCTGAACTTTTGAGTTGTTTAAGAAATTAAATTGATGGTTGTTCTATGAAGGAGAGAATATTGCTAGGGATGAAATGTCAAGATACACTTCCTTGTCAGCTTGCAGGCCTGACACCTGCCAAATATAAACTGGATTTGAAAATCTTGGAATGGTCAGATCTAAAACATTTTAGTGAGAGTCCCTCTCCCTAACCACATTACTACCATAGCTATTAAGTTGTAAATTAAAATAGAGTAAATATATTTTTAGCCAGCATCTAAAGATCAGATAATGGCTATATTAGAGAAGGCTCGGGCTAACCTACCAGCTAAAGCACCTAAAAGTAAGAAGCCAACAGCTGCTGCACAACCAGTACAATCAGCCCCATCATCTAGATTTGATGATTATGATGACGACGATGAACCACCTCCACCTAAAGAAAAGAAAGAAGCTGCTGCTTCTAAAAAAACGGTTACCAAAGGAAAAGCTAAGGTATTTTATTATAGTTCACAATATCATTCAGAAGAAATATTGTCAGTAAGTAGATTATTTTGTCTAGATTTGAAAACTCTGAGAAATACAAATCTAGTTTTAGCTGTGAATTAAATGACGGATTTAATCATTAAACATACATGGTTATATCTAATTGTTGACTGTATCTGTAGACCTATAATTTTGAATGTAGACCAACTAGCATGCCACAGAACAAAAAATGCAAAATCCAGTGAAAAGTTGACAATTTTTGATATGCTATATTAGGTGATATGCTATCTCAGAAACAATATGTTACCTAACCCTGACTTGTCTATAGCTAGATCGTGTTCTATTTTGGTTTGGGTTCTGTAAATGAGTATGAGACCATTCTTATATCGTCTTTCAATGATGTTGTATGTATTGATATTGATGTTGTATGTATTTGTAGCATTTTTCAATAACTGATATCTTGAATTAGTTAACTTCTAAATAATAACAGTCTTGTTAGGGTTTAACCCCGAAGTATTTCCTTATTCTAGGCAGCACCGCCGCCATCTAGTAAAAAGAAAGTAGAAGAAGATACAAGTGATATAATGAATTTAACTGTACCTAAAGAACAAAGATTTAAAGAAGAGAGAAATCTTAAGGTATTTTAATTATTTATATTTCGCTTTTATGAAATTTAACTAAAGATACATTCCCACAAAAGTATTTATAGGACAAAAATGTAATGGGATCACTATGACAGTGTCCCTTTGTTGTCTGCTGGAGAGGGAATTGAAGTCTAATTTTGATAGATAAATTAGTCTGAATATGTTTTTTTAGTCCAAATCATTAAATCACAAAGTTTGTATGTGAAAAGACATTCTTTAATTGCAAAGCTCTTGCATAAAAGTTATGCCAGCTGGACATATTATGACTTTGTATCATTTATCTCATGGTATTTAATATGTATTCTTATGATGTATTAATTAATATAATAATCTATTTCTGGTATATTTTTAGGTGTTAAAATGGAATTTTACAGAAATTCGATCTGAAATAGTTGAACAATTAAATCTGCAGATGGAGAAGAACTTTAATAAAACCATTATGACACTTCTGTTCCATAAAGATTTTAAATCTCACATAAAAGCCATAGAACTTTTAATTAAGGTTTGTACTGTTAAATATACAGTTAATAACACAATTAGTTCTTATTGGTAATATACAAATGGTAAGAAAAAGGGCCTGACAAGGACAGCTTTCTAGTCTTGCGGATTTTATGAAAAACCAAGGTCCCGTGTATACATTGGTGTGCACGTAAAAGATCCCCCTGGCAGTTGGGATTTGAAATAAAAGTAGGCCATAGTGACGCTGCCTGGGCAAAATTTCCCTTATAGCACACTGCATGGCATATACCCGTCTACGTTAGCCCAAGGGGGGTCGGATGGCCGAATTGTTAGAGCGTGCGTGCTGTATCATACGGTCAGTCATTGAGTCAACTTGTAGGGTTTCGATTCCCCAGTTGTACGTGACAAGGAGTAGGGTCGCCTGTCCAACCTCGTGGGATTTCTCCGGGTCCTCCGGTTTCCTCCCACTGCTAAAGACCCCTACGCGCAAGCGAATTATTGAAATAAAATTGAACCATGTGTTAGTCCCGAAATGACCTAGTTTGTGTCGAGTGGATGTTAAACCACATTTCTCTCTCTCTCTCTCTCTCTCTCATTAACCCCATTGGAGCAGAACAGTAGGTCGTTAAACCCCATTTGATTTTATTTTTGTCCCCCGCCTTTCGAAGAAAGCAGGGGACTATTAAAATGGGTTCGTCCGTCTGTCTGTCTGTCTGTCTGTCCGTCTGTCTGTCCTTCTGTCTGTCCGTCTGTCTGTCCGTCACACTTTTTGGGACACAATAACTCTCTTCCTAATTGAGCTAGAATGTTCAAACTTGGTGTATGTGTTTATTAGGTCAATGCCTTGATGGAGTTCGAAGATGAGCATTTTCCGCTTAGGGTAAGCAGAGATAAGCAATTTGATTGGTTGATGCTTTGGGACACGATAACTCTCTTCCTAATTGGGCTAGAATGTTCAAACTTGGTGTATGTGTTGATTAGGTCAATGCCTTGATGGAGTTCGAAGATGAGCATTTTCCGCTTAGGGTAAGCAGAGATAAGCAATTTGATTGGTTGATGCTTTGGGACACGATAACTTTTAATTGAGCTAGAATGTTCAAACTTGGTGTATGTGTTTATTAGGTCAATGCCTTGATGGAGTTCGAAGATGAGCATTTTCCGCTTAGGGTAAACAGAGATAAGCAATTTGATTGGTTGATACTTTGGGGCACGATAACTCTCTTCCTAATTGAGCTAGAATGTTCAAACTTGGTGTATGTGTTGATTAGGTCAATGCCTTGATGGAGTTCGAAGATGAGCATTTTCAGCTTAGGGTAAGCAGAGATAAGCAATTTGATTGGTTGATGCTTTGGGACACGATAACTTTAGTTCTAATTAAGTGAGATTGATGAAACTTGGTGTATAGTTTCATTACAGTAATACCTTGACTAAGTTTGATAATGAGCATTTTCTGCTCAGGGTAAGCAGAGCGATACGCAATTTGATTGGTCGAGACTTTGGAAAACAATAACTCTCCTACTTTGATTGTCCCCCGCCTTTCGAAGAAAGCAGGGAACTATTAAAATGGGTTCGTCCGTCTGTCTGTTTGTCTGTCTGTCTGTCCGTTCCGCTTATGGTAAGCAGAGATAAACAATTTGATTGGTTGATCTTCGAATTGAGTAAATGTTCATGCTTATTGTCCCCCGCCTTTCGAAGAAAGCAGGGAACTATTAAAATGGGTTCGTCCGTCTGTCTGTTTGTCTGTCCGTTCCGCTTAGGGTAAGCAGAGATAAACAATTTGATTGGTTGATGCTTTGGGACACTATAACTTTAGTTCTAATTAAGTGAGAGTGATGAAACTTGGTGTATAGTTTCATTACAGTAATACCTTGACTAAGATCGATAATGAGCATTTTCTGCTCAGATTAAGCAGAGCGATAAGCAATTTGATTTGCTGAGACTTTGGAACACAATAACTCTCTAATTATTTTCCTATTTCGGCGGGGGACATCAGCCTCACTGTTGGCTTGTCATTTTACATTCATTATCATTGATTGGTGCATATAGTCAAACTACTGATAAAAATATATTTATTGCAAAAGACTATGAATAAAATACCTATTCAATATTAAATCAAAAAATGACACCGTGGCTTTTAAGATTTTCTTTTTTTTATTTGTGAGCTTACTAATCACTTTTAGTCTGCAATTTATCTGGCAAAAATTTCCCAGCCCCACACATAAACAAACAAAACCCCTCCACATGTACCCACAGAAATAAAAATTATCATATATGTTATTGACCTAATCGCAAAATGACTGAGGTATCGTGTAGATGAGATAGTATAACCCATTGTTTTACTTTCCTAAAAAATTAATTTGTGTTTTAATTGTTTTCTTCAAGGGACTGGACACCTTACCTGATGAAACAATAGGAAATTTAGATCTTATATTAAAATGGTTAACATTACGATTCTACGATACAAACCCCAGTATGTTGAACAAGGGATTATCTTATTTACAAGATTTATTTATGCAACTAGCAGATGCTGATTACCACCTACATGATATAGAGGCTGTCTCTTTTATACCATACTTAATTCTCAAGGTAAGTTTACATCAGGACTGGAACTAATGTTCATTCATAGCATATAGTGGTCTACATTTGTGCTGTAGGTCATAAACTATAACAGGTGGCATATTGTATGAGACCAGGAATAGGGCTTTCCTCCCACTGCTAAAGACCCCTACACACAAGCAAAATATTGAAATAATACTATAGTTAGCCCTAAAGTGACAGTTAGTGTTGAGTGGACGGTAAACCATATTTCTTTCGCTTATCTTCCCTATTCTGAAGACAGATTATCGATATAATATGTTTGTCCCAAAATGAGCTATTTAATGTTGAGTGCACATTAAACCCCATTTTTCTTTTCTGCATTTTAGATTAACCTCACATAGTCACAGATTGCTTATACATATTTTTTCGACAATTGTTTTTTTTTTTTTAATGTATTCCAGGTATTAATTCAAATTGATAATTGATCTTTTGTATTTCCAATGTGAAATGCCCAAAATTTAATTTCTTAAACCTTTAAGATGTTCCAAAAGGAAGTACCATTTTATAGGGTTATGTCTCATTGTTTTATTTGTTTTAAAAGTTGACTTATGTGTACAAAGAACTTGCCCTGAAGTGAAATGTATTTTTCTAATGTGCTACCCAGTATTTATGAAATAATGTCATTGACCTTCTGATGGAAATGTGTAATTCTTAAAATACTTTTGAGACTTGCCATGTATTTTTTAGGTTGGTGATTCTAAAGATAATGTGCGAAGAGATGTACGTAAAATATTCAAATTAATATGTCAAGTTTATCCTGCTAGTAAGATGTTCTCTCATCTTATTGATGGACTCAAGTCAAAAAACTCAAAACAAAGAGCTGGTACGTTTGTTATTGTTTGATTCAAAATAATAAATTTTTAAACATGTATTATAAAATGATTTAGGGTCAGTATTTAATAAACATACTTTAAACTTAAACGTAAACAGAATATTATTTGACAAAACGAAAGGCAGCCAAATAAAATTTTAAAATCTATCTTTTTTTGGCTTATTAACCAACATCTGCTTTGTTTCTGAACTGGACAGTGTTGTGGCTTCAGATTGTGGCATCTAACCTTCACTAAGTTGATAAAGAAAGTACCTAGTTGTTTAAGGGGGGTTGGATGGCTGAATGGTTAGCCTGCGCGCGCTCTATCATAAAGTCTGTCATTGAGTCGACTGGCGTGGTTTCGAATCCCCAGTTGTACGTGACAAGGAGTAGGGTCGCCTGTCCAACCTCATGGGTTTTCTCGGGGTCCTCCGGTTTCCTCCCACTGCTAAAGACCCCTATGCGCAAGCGAATTATTGAAATAAAATTAAACCATACGTTAGTCCCGAAATGACCTAGTTTGTGTCGAGTGGACGTTAAATACCATTTCTCTCTCTCTCTCTCTCACCTAGTTGTTTGGAAGGTATAAAAAAAAATGTTTATTCATGTACACATGTTTGTGCTTGACAGTAGGAGAAACATTACTGTCAAGGCAAAATTATACTACCCCTACCCTGCATTGTACACACAACCATTAAGATTAAAAAAAATACCATGTCTCAAAATGACCAATCTATTGTGAAATAAGCTTATTGCTTTGTGTGATTTTGTCTATTGTACAGAATGTTTAGAAGAATTAGGCTGTATCATTGAATCATATGGTATATCTATATGTCAACCATCACCATCCCAGGCATTAAAAGCAATTGCACAACAGATCAGTGATAGAGATAATTCTGTTCGTAATGCTGCTCTTAATACCATAGTTGCTGCATATCTTCTTATAGATGAACAAGTCTTTAAATATGTTGGAAACGTAAGTAACATACATATAAATACAGATTTTTGTGAGTCTCGTTTGGTTGTTTGTTTATATAACCTGATAAAGTTAGAAAGGGTATATAACAGTTAAAGTGAGACTTTTTTGTTGTCTTGAAATTCCCAAATTTAGGTAATTATGGAAACTGTGTCTGATCAGTTTTAGTGGTACATCTTTTGCTAACTTGAGAGATGGTGTTGGATTAAATACATGGTCTTTTTTAAATCAATCTTTTTAGTAGAAATAAATAGAAAAATATTTAAAATAGTTCAAAATAGAATAATATGATGGTCAATCAGCTTTAGAATCGCACATTTTGATTTTTAGTTAAATGAAAAGGAAATGAGTTACTTGCAAGAAAGGCTGAAGCGATCACAGAAATCTAAAGGACCCAAGATAAATGACGAAAGACCCCAATCAGCTCGACCTGCTGTAAAACCCCAACAACAACCGTGAGTATAATAATAAAATCAGATTCTGAAATGCCAGCTATATTAATTTCTTTTAAAGATGCATTATGTAAGATCTAGATAACTGACCATTTTTTGCTATAATACTAGTCTAAAAATAGATAATGGAAAATTCATATATTGAAAATTTCATTGAACTTACTTTATTCTGAGCAAAGTTTTGCCGGTTGGAAGATGAAGCACAGATTGTTTATTATTGTAGCAACGGTACTGTACTGGACATTTGAGACTGGGCATCGCTTCTCCATTTTTTAATTAAATCATTATATGACATTCATATTTTAATCCGTATAAATCTCTTCTAAAATAGCTATTACATGATGTATCTTTAACATTCTTTTTTTTTAAAGACAATTAAAATACTCAGTCAAGAAAGAAAATAAAAAATCAATTAAATGTCTTTGTAAGATCTGATTGAATAAATAGTCTGTCCTGTTGTATGTTAAGTGACTTAAGCTTAAATAAATACTTCATCTGCAATTTTATCAGCATGTACCCAATGATATAATGTTTATGGCATTAAATGGAAAATAATTCACTTATAATGGCCCGAGGTAGAGCGTCCCAAAAAAACTTAGTATTTTTTTTGTAGACTTACTAAATAATAGGAACCCCAGATTGTAGATTATTTAATATTAATAAATGGAATATTATTATATTATTAAAAATTTCATTTATATTATTAAAAATTTCATTATATTATTAAAAATTTCATTTATATTATTAAAAATTTCATTTATTAGTGTGGCAGCTCTTCAAAGACCACAGTCAGCCCAGCCTAAATCTAATACAAGAAAAGAGAACTATATAGATATTGACTGTGATATGAGTGAATTACCAGCACCTAGTCTTATAGAAGTTGATATAGATTATATGTATGATACATTACCACAACCTACAGTCAAGTTAGTATTACACATAATATTGACTCTTATATACAACTGAAGTAAAATCTGTCATGTCCACTATATATATACTGTTTTCTGGTCGCCATGGTGCTCAGTGAGTAAGATGTTGGCTCGCTAACCTAGAGGTCCTGTGTTTGATCCCTGCTTTGACTGAGAAAGTTCATTAGGATTTTCCGGTGTTGTTCCCCCTTGTCAATGGTGCTGGACGGAGGGCCTGGCAAGGGACAATGTATAGTCGTTTGGATGGGACGAAAAACCATGCTGTCCGGGCAAAATTTCCCTCATAGTCATAGCACACTGTATGGTGTATGCTCGTCTTCATTAGCCCAGTTGGAGCAGAACAGTAGGATGTTAAACCTCATTTCATTTTATACTGTTTTCTAAGAATATAATAACTGTAGCTGTAGGTCTGATTATCTGTTTTCTGGCAGGACTAAGGGCCTGGCAAGGATGAATCGAATGAAAAAACGGGGTCCAGTGTACCCATTATTGGCATGCCTGTTAAAGAACCCTTGACAGTTGTAATTCAAAATAGAGTAGTCCGTAGCGCCTATGCGGCACACTGTATGGTGTAAGCTCGTCTTGATTAGGCCAGTCTGCAGAAAAGTAGAACATAAACCTCATTTTTTGGGGGGTTGGATGGCTGAATGGTTAGCATGTGCACGCAGTATCATAAAGTCTGTCATTGAGTCAACTGGCGTGGTTTCGAATCCCCGGTTGTACATGACAAGGAGTAGGGTCGCCTGTCCAACCTCGTGGGTTTTCCCTGGGTCCTCCGGTTTCCTCCCACTGCTAAAGACCCCTACGCGCAAGCGAATTATTGAAATAAAAATTAAAACCATATGTTAGTCCTGAAATGACCTAGTTTGTGTCGAGTGGACGTTAAACCCCATCTCTCTCTCTCTCTCGCTCTCTGTTCTGAAATTAGTGAAATGATCTGGTTGTGTTGAGAAAAAGCTAACTAAACTTCGATTTTAGTACAAAAGATTAAAGATCAAATAGTTGGAATGAAAGTGCTTGATAGTTTTAGAAGAGAAGCATATTATTTGTTTTGTATAATTTCTGTTTCTATTCCAATTTTCAGACCGCGACCATTGTCAACAACTATAGGTTTTGTTATTTCACAAATAACTAATAAAAATATCAACACATGTATCCAGGCCTTAGCACAGGTAATTATTTTTTTAAGATTTCAGAACGATTTGTCCATATTTCAGTTTGATATCAATTTGGTACAAAAAAAGTTTCCAAAAGTTGTTTTCAGATAATGATTTGTAACCATCTCTGACTTAATGAGACACATAGCTTAAAAATGTACTTTTAAATTCTGTGTTTAAAGACCTTTTAATTAGTGTGTGATGTGCATATATCGTAGAAAATTCTGGAGATATTTAGCTTTGAAATTGAAGTGCGTGTACATCATGTTATTAATTTTAGAATAGGCTATTGAAAAATACTGAAACAAAACAATACTCATAGTAACAAACAGCAAATTTCATGGATTTCGGTTAAGTTTCCGACTTTGATTTTTGGGGAATTATTAATAATAACAAGGTCATTTTTCACGACAATATGCACTGGAAAACCCCCACTAAATTTGTGCTATATATCAAAAAGCCAAAGTTGGCCAAATAGGTGTTAAATTATTCTGATGTTCTTTAGTAAAAACACAATCCAAGGTCAATTACCCCTTTACACAAATATTTTATAATAAAATGGTATATTTAATTTTGTTGTATTTTAGATTGATGATGTATTAAAAGAAAGACCCGAGATATTAATAGATCATATAGATCAACTAGTCTTGTTATTATCTATGCAGTTTAAGATGGTGTACTCAACTTGTATGGGTGATGAGAATACATCTAGAGACGATATAATACGTTTATATAGATGTTTATTGTGTACACTATTAGCTGTAAGTAATATCAATCAACATTCAATTGATCGTCTAGAAAAGTATTTAATAGGCATTTTCACTGGTAGTGTTATATTCGGATCTTTAGATCCTTGGGTGTTAAACTAAACTTGGGGGTGAAAATGAAAAACAACCATTCTCCATGTTATAATTCCAATCTCTATCCTTATTGTTATTGTTCAAAAAGGTTGAAGAACTACAAAATAAGGGAGATAACTTGTATCTTCTTTAGAGGTAAGGTTTCAGACAACAGTGATGTTCAATATACCACTCACTATATGACATAGAAATCCAACAATGACTCTTTGAAACAAGATAAGTTTGATTCTAATTGATTGAGAGTGATGCAACTTGATGCATAGTTTTATTACGTTAATATCTTGACTAAGTTCAGCTCCTGTAAGACATTTTGATAAGTTGATACTTTATAAAAAGATAATAATGCAGATAATTGATGAGTGTCATCTATTTAATTTTGGACATTAGCTTTACTATTGTTTTGTTACACCGGGATGGGTGGGTGGCTGCATGCGCATTGCATCATAAGGTCTGTCATTGAACCAAGTGGCATGCTTTCAATTCACCACTTGTACGTGACAAGGAGTACGGTCGCCTGTTCAACTCATGGGTTTTCTCTGGGTTCTCCAGTTTCCTCCCACAGTGAATTAATGAAATAAAATTGAACCATATGTTAGTCCTGAAATGAACTAGTTTGTGTTGAGTGGATGTTAAACCCCATTTCTCTCTTTTGTTTTGTTACACTTGCTTTAAGATACACACTTAAATTACATGTATGACAACTGTCATATGTTTCTCAAATACTTTTTATTCGATATCTTTCTGGTTTTACCTGTATGATAAAACCCAGATGGCTATTCAATATGCCGTGAAAAAATAAAGAAATATATATTTGTCAACAAATTGTCATCCTGGGTGTTTGCTGATCTTTTTACTAAATGTGATTGTGTAATACTTTATAATGTTGTTTATTGGTTGGTATTTGTCCTGTATACTAACATTGCTATTTTTCAGACTTTCCAACATGAAGAGTGTGCTAAGAAAACATCTAAAGATATATTAAAGGATATATTGAATAGTTTGGTGACTATATTATTAGATAATAGATTAATGGATTTAGATGAAGGACCACAAGTTGTACGCAGCGTTAATGTAACAGTTATTAAGATTGTAGAAAATGCTGATTTCACAAATATCATGAGGTAAATATTTAACAGGAATCGTAGGATGTGAATTGCACCAAGATTTTCACAAACATTAATAATAATATCTGAATCATTGAAGATCTATTGCAAATTGTTGACCTAAAAAGGGTAACAAATATTATGAAAACTGATATGGCAACATTCAGGAAAGGTAATTCCTAGTCATTTCAGAAAGCTGTTTGCTATCAAATCATCTTCGGAAGAAGATTTGTTTACATTGTCATCCGCCAAATCATACTATAAGCGGATTCTTGCAAAAATAGGCTAATTTTTAAACAGGCATTAAACTACTATTCTCTCCTCTCTCAAAACATGACGATTTACAATCTACTTACATGTTAATCAATGTTTTATGAATCCCCAAGAGATTATATTTTTGAAAACGTGATTTTTCGTGGCAGCTGTCATGTCAGATCGATTAAAATGGTTATTACACCAATCATGATCTAAATATTGATTTGTTTATTTTGTATTGATAGAATTATGGAGAAGTATATCTTTCTGTAATCTTAGAATTTGATAGTTCAAGATGGTAGTTGACTTTCAAACATAATCATAGTTCTAGTGAAAAGAATTTTACTTTTAGGATTTCTATGTTTATTAAAAATAAAATATTTATTTTATTTCAGTGCTTTAATTAGTCTGTTACAAGATTGTGCTGGTAGTGATATCTGTACACCTAAATTCCTTGAACTTATCATGAAGGTATTGCTTATATTTATATCAAAAGGTCATTGTGATGACCTTGATCTATTACACTATTAATTTCAGCCCCTTATATAAACAGAAGCTTCAGTAACATGTGTATCTTCTTACTTTGTATGAACGATAGCTGTTGTCACCTTTTAGCAAAGCAACATACCCTCTTGGACCCATGTTCAAATTTATATGATTTAAAATGTGTCTATCAAGATTTCAAGTATCTCTTAAACATGCATTATGTAAGAGCTAAATCTGCCTATTGCAGGTCTTTCTTAAGGCCTGAAATGTTTTCTAAAGTATTAATTAGACATTAATTAACTGATCCAGGCCTTAATCAACTCTCGATGGCATCAGATTTCTCCGATATTAAATAGATTAGAATGGTTCAGCGATACTTTGATTTAATCAAATATGGAGGGCCGAGACTTGGCTTCGATCAACCAGTACGGTGGTTGAAATTATTGCACACGTCTGTCAAACCTTCAAAGGCTAATATCTTCGCTTGCAATAGAGTAATTTGAATGAAATTTTCAAATTATTCATTTTACATCATCTACTTTCAAACTATTATAGCAAGAATGGCTAGTTCTTTATCTAAATCTTACATAATGTATCTTTAAGATATTTATTAGGCAAAACTTCAGCTTATATAATTTTCCCCACTAAATTTGAGTTTGTTTTCCAATCCGTGGTTGAATATTTAGGGCTTCGTCAATGAATAGTTGTTGTTGTTGTTTATTACAAATTTAATATCCAATACATTAAAATATGAAATTATTGACAGGTTGATTTAATTAAATTATTTACATTTAAAGGCGTAATATATATATATAAAAAAAGAAAATGGGTAAAACACAAAATATAATACTTCTTGTATATCAAAAAATCACATTAAAACAGTTTTTATACGCCCAGGGTTTTGGCCAAACAAACAACGTCAACAAGATCGTCATCAAATGAGAAAGTATATTATAATGATATCAAACATCTGACAAACAGATTACCAGTTATCAACAGTTCATGACACACATGATATATAACTATAAGATAAAGTCCGACAAACGGCGACAGACGACGAACGCTGTCTTCCGTACTATTCTGCCATAGCTGTCCCACAGTGCAACGTCGCACGTGCAGCTTAACATATTACCGTAAAGTTACAGGAGATCCACGTGTTTGAGGGTTGGTGTCATAAATGAGTTAATGTATCTATGTTTTATGTGATTAATGTTTTTACTAATTTTAAGTGTTCATATGTGATTAATGTTTTTCTAGTGTTTATGGAGGTTGACGAGAATGTTACCGAATACAATCAACGAGTTAAACATAGAGAGAACTCTACTTGATTGTCATCTCTTTCTCCGAGCATTCCCTTCCAGTAGTTGGAAAGAACGAACCAGTGATCTTCCGCTTCGCACTATTAAAACTATTTTACATTCCCTCGCTACTTTAAAGGGCAAAAAGGTAATGTATTATTTTTATTATTATTATAATCTTTATTATATTGACCTTATTATATAGTCCACTTATTGTTCTAGCAATAGATAGCTGTTTATGGCAGCAACTCAAATCGACATTTTAAAACCACAGTAAATTAAATACTGTGTTGTGACGTCACTGGCGGTATCAGAACTACAGTTGGAACAGGGAAATACGGGACAAACAGTTAATTTCAACAAAAAATATACAAATTTGGCCGATTTGCTAAAAATGTCACCATTTTTGTGTGTTGTGGTCTACATAATGCATTATTGTGTGGAATTATTTCAGATATTAAATCATACAGGGTTGATATCTAGTGATGAGAACTCAGAAATTGAAAGTTATTTAAATAAAGTTCTTAAAAATGATGTTGCCAGTACTAATGCAAAAAATGAAGTAATGAATACTGAGGAAAAACCACCTAAGGTGAGAAAAAGTTCTAAATATTTAACTCAATCACAAAACATAAACAAAGTTTCCATAATATCAAGTTTTGAAAAATACAATAACGAACTCTGTTCATTTGCTTTAAATGTCAAAGTCTACAGGTTGTTTGTTTTTGCAGTGACAGTAATTTGAAATAAATTGTTTCTTTTAGAGCTCTTCGAAACCAAAGTCTTTCTCAAAGGGTACCCAGGACATGTTGGGTGAAATCTTTAAAAAAATTGGTTCTAAAGAAAACACGAAAGAGGTAAAGAATTACACAAATATGTAAAAACAATTTATTAGATATATAGAAATTTCTAAAAGATAGAAAAATTATTAGTTTTGATTGTTTATTTTTAGAATGCATCAATGTATTTTCAGTTTTTAACAAAACAAATGGAATTCTTCAAAAACCTAATTATTAATTAGTTTTATATATCATTTCAGGGTTTGAATGATTTATATGATTTCAAGAAGAAAAATCCTGATTCTGATCTAACACCATTCTTAAAGAAAACATCACAGTTTTTCCAGGATTATGTAGAAAGAGGTTTGAAGAATATAGAACAAGAAAGAGACGGAAGGAAAACAGCTTCTAGTTAGTGTTATTCATTTTGATATTATCCATATAAAAACCAGTGGTTGCCAGGCAAGATACACCCATATTTTGCAAGAGATGGATAGAGAACAAGCTAAAAAAAAACAAAACATGATAATCCAAGAAGTTATGGTCAGAAATGCGCAAATATCGAAAAGGACTGAGATCTTTGGGATGTAAAGACATATTTTGAGTTTCATCAAAATCAGACAAAAATTGTGACCTCTAGAGGGTACACCTATTACATACTCGATTGGTCGATAAAAATAGCAGAAATATCAAGGGCAGATAATTTGACTAAGTGTCTTTCCCCGTGGCGAAATGATACCACTGGTGAGACAAAGAATGAACTACATAGTGCACATTAAGGAACCCTTGACACTTGGAATTTGATGAAGTTTAAATTTTCAGCCTAATAGTAATATTGCACACATGACTATAATGAAAATAACTATATGTTAATCTCAAAATAAGGTAATGTATTGTGTTGACCCGATGTTAAACTCCATTTCATTCATGTAAATTTTTATAGGTGAAGTATCTGCTGTTAGTACACCTACTACTACCACTACCACATCATCATCAGTTGTTAGCGGTCAGAGTGATTGTGCTAATTTCTATCTAGAGAGATTAAAAACATTGCGATCACAGTGTGGACTTGATTCAACACAACAGGTATACTATATTAAACTAAATAACAGCACTTGAAATAATCAAAATGTAACAAAACCGAGGTCCCGTGTATACATTGGAATGCACGTAAAAGATCCCTTGACAGTTGGTATTCGATATAAGAGTAGGCCATAGTGCCGTTGTCCGGGCAAAATTTACCTCATAGCACACTGTATGGCGTATGCCCGTCTTCATTAGCCCAGTTCGGAGCAGAACTGTAGGGCGTTTAACCCCATTTCATTTCATTTCATTTTGATAACTTCAAATGAATTTGCATGCAAGATCTTATTTACTTTGAATATATAATCATATACAAACCAGTAACAGGGTTAAACATATAGCTATTAGTCTTCATGAAAAAATTACAGTGGTACAGCAAGATGATAATTAGATTTTTATTTTATCTCTTATACCAAAGCACTGGGATTGACTATCTATTATTATTTCTTTCTTCATTGAATCTATATTTTTCAATCAAAATATTTGAAGACACAAATTGTGATTATAGATTTATACTGACCTCTGTTCGAAATATTTCAGAATGAGAAACCTCAACCTTTAAGACCGTTGAAACTTAGTGAAAGTGAAAAGAACAGTAGTACATATAGTAGTTCGGAGTCATTGGCTGTGGTAAGTTTTGCTCCCTAGATTAATGCTATGTAAATTTTTATTGAAATTAAGGAAATATGCCAGCATGTTTTGTACATGGTTAATACTCTATATGTCTGCAGAAAAGTAAGATGTTAAACCCCACTTCATTCATACTCTACAGGTCAGAGTCTTGGCCAGAATTGTTCAGTTAAAAAAAAAAAAGAACCAGTCAGGCATTGTTGGATGTATATTAAAGTAATGAGATTTATTTTATATTTAATAGTCCGAGATCAATTATAAACCAGAGGAAGAAGAAGAAAATGAGAAACCTGCTGTACCTGATGTAGATGTATCAGGATTAAAGATGAGATTAGAGAGGATTAAACAACTATCTAAATAGATGTTAATTATACATATACATAAATCATGTTTTATATCATTAATTTATTACAATTCATATTACAATATTTTATACCTACTATATCATGTGTGACAGACTCGAAATAAAAAGATTGGAATAAAGAAGAAAAACTAATTAAATGGAATCTTAAAATTTAAAATCACTATGTTATTAATTTGGCAAAAATTGATCAACTTGAAATAATTTGGAATCCAACAAAGAAAAAAATATCTGTTTTCCTTAATTTGTAAAATATGTATACATGTATGTAAAATACAAAGTCTTTAATTGAGAGTTGATCACATAATGATGTGTATGTTATTAAACATATGTATATAAATATTAAATAGACTATGGTAAGTAGAAGTTAGGTAGTCCCCTGTAATATTCATAAGTTATTAGCTTAAAGTGGAGAGTTTTTGTTAATCATTTATAAGGAATCATTTTTAAAAAATGCTCTTAAAGTAATGAAAAGACTGTTTGTTGCCAGCTTTCATAAAAAAACATGTTTTTCTCTCATTCGATATAGGCAACAAATATCCAAATTTTCATCTTGAAGTTTATTAATCTTCGATTATTACTGTGGAATATCAAAGCCTTGTTCAAAAAGACAGATTATTGCTTGTAAAATGGATGTAGTTTTGTACAAAATATAGGTCTTGAAGTGCTTGTATATAAATCATTGTTAATTAAACTTGTTGAATTATATAATTAAGCTCAATTAAAGTTTATTAATTATTTTTTTTTTAGGAAATTAGAAATGGTTCTAACTCTTCCCTCTTTATGCTATCCGTAGCCTAAATAAACTGCGATATAAATGAATTGTATAAACACATATTATTAATAGTGGACTTTGTCTCATATTTAATAAAGTCATTATATAAACTTATACTATTCATCTATCTCTTTAACAGAAATATGAATATACAGAATTTTGGCCACTTGTATAATGTATGGTAAACTATCTTACAAAAGTTTTGACTTCAGATTTATTTGTTAGACCAAACAAAATATTCAAAACAAAGCTGAAAGATGTTAACCAAAATCTACGAAATTATTTAAGATTTATACTTGATTTTATATTTGATGTCAGGAATGTTACATTTCTTGTAGTAAGTACATATCAATTATCATTTTGTGTGTTTGAATATTTTCCACTAGACGCTGTTAAAGTAACTTTAATAGATATTTTTTCAGTTTTCCTGTAAATTGTTTGGCTTAAAGTTGCTATTATCGTGTTTTACAAAATTGTTAATATTTTTGATTAATTGTTGTTGATTTTAAAACTGATTGCTCATGAAAATCCTTAATCTGAAATATTTCATTTGTTTCTCCTGTTTTCTTGTCTTGTTTCTCCCATTTTCTTCAATCTATCTCTGAATTCCATAATTAATGAACAACTAGCATTTAGGTCAAATGTTTCCAAAGTCCTGATAAACAGTGCTTATTGTTACATTTAACATTAAATTTAGTGCAATATAAGTTTTGGCTCAGGAAAAAGCATTTCAAATCTATACTTCTTATCCTTAAAGATCTTTTCTGAAACATATTCATTTTCTTCATTCTGTCCACTAATTTGTAAGTAAATAAATATATCAATGCTGTCATCAAGATCAGATGCTCTTGTGAAAATTGACAAGTTATTAAAATAAGACACTTTTATTTATATTTACACTGGTATTACATTATTTCATAGTCTTGTTTATATACCTACATTTAGAAATGCTAATGTCCTTTCAGTGCGGTTGCTTATATAACTAGGTAACTTTGAAAAATGTTATGGGCACTCTGGCTGCTTGGAATTTACAGTGTTCATAAAAAAAATTAATAAACTATGAATGTATTGATGAACTTCCTCCTGACAGCATCCAAATTATTGGCTGTGAAAACATCCACAGTTGTTGAATGCATTTTGGAAATTAATTGAATCAATATTCTATATTAGAATCAGATAATGGTAATTGGCATAATGTTTTTCTTCTCTATTGTATTTAAAGTTGAGACGGTATGCTTACAGAAAAATGTAAGCTAAGAATATGTCTGTCTTTGGTTGAAAGATGCCATGTATATATACTGTATTTACTGTTAATAAATAAAAATGTTGCTTTTGGTGCTAATTATTGTTTGCATTTCTTCATTAAAATGAACAAGAAAATTTCCCTGTCCGTCTTTATGAAATGTAGTTAAGACTTGTGCTTTAAAAATTGGCAATATTTTTTATTTCAAGATGTATTTATATTTTTTTCCCACATCAAAAATTCTCCAATAGTAACTTTTTCTGTGGATACACAATTTGTGAAAACTTTTTATTATTTAGCAATAAATATCTGATTAAATAAACAGCACCCCAAATTACAGGGTGTCCATAGATACAAGTGGAATTTAATACGGAGATGTCAAAATGTGAAGGAATAGCTGTAGCTCATTTATCTTGTCGGAAAGTTTCAGCTGAAAATAGTGAGCATTTGTATTTCTCACAATAAAATGCTTATGGTCAAACTTAGTCAAGGGTAAGGACTAAAAGCTAAGACCCATTGCAGATTTCGTCATAGGTCTCGAGATGTAAATAGGGTTAGGGCATGTGATTGTTGATGAAATTGTGGGTTAGGGTCATCACCCTCATTTGTTTATCTCTGCTTAGCCTAAGCAGCAATTAATTATCGAACTCAATAAACACCTACACCACGTTTGAATATTCTATCTTCTGAGGTAAACAAACAATGCCATAATAGAAGGTAAAAATCCCAAATACTTAATACATGTATGAATATGATTGCTTTGATTGGATATCACAATACGGGCCAGTTTTTCAAAGCTCAAATTAGTGTAAACTGTTAAGTAATGAAACAGAGACCCGTGAATGACTCTTGCGTGTGAGCATGACCTGACGAACATGATTGATCTTGATAAAATCGCTAATCGGTGGTCAGCTTGACTAACCAAGGATGCTTAATGAAAATATGAGGACATAGTCATATCTTTGCTAATTTATGCATATTCACCACAACAATATATGGAAGATAAATGATGTAATTATCACTTTCAGAATATGTCACAGATTCACAGTACTTTTTACGTTCTTATAAAATTCTAAATAAATAACATGAATTTCCATGTGTAGTACTCAATTTTACTCATGTTATAAGTGTTTTCTGACCATCAGAATTCAGCAAAATCTTCTTTCACAGTCAAGGACTCGAGATTCCAAAATGTTCCCGAACGTCCCCAGGAAGCTCTCATCTGCGGTGCTCCGCGCTCGTGTGGCTGGGTCACTCGTATTAGGGGCCTGTTGATCAGTCTCATTTTTATACGCCCACATGAAAATGTGGTTGTATATTGCCGTCGCCCCCGTCCGTCCGTTCTTGTGAACACTCTAGAGACTACATTTATCATCTGATTGTTTTGAAATTGATATATGTTGTTTGCATTAGTGAGATGAAGAAGCCTATTTAATTTCAATAACTTCCGTTAATTTCTTCTGGAGTTATGGCCCTTTTTTTCACTTTGTTGCACCTTGTGAACGCTCTTACGACAAAAGTTATCAACCATCTGTATGAAATTTATATGCATCATTTAAATTAGTAAAACAAAGAATCCTATTGAATTTCAGCAATTTCCGTTAATTACATCTAGAGTTATGGCCCTTGTTTCACTTTGTTGAATCTTCTGAACGCTCTAATGACAACAGTTATCATCTTTTCATTTTGAAATTGATATGCATCATTTAAATTAGTGAAAAGAAGAAGCCTATTGAATTTCATCAATTTCCGTTAATTATGCCATGAGTTATGGCCCTTGTTTCACTTTGTTGTACCTTGTAAATGCTTTAAGACAAAAGTATGAAATTTATATGTATCATTTAAATTAGTAAAACGAACAAGCCTATTGAGTTTCAGCAAATTTCCGTTAATTACATCTAGAGTTATGGCCCTTGTTTAACTTTGTTGAATCTTGTGAACGATTGAACGACAAAAGTTATCACCTAATCTGTATGAAATTCATATGCATCATTTAAATTCGTGAAATGAAGAAGCCTATTGAATGTCATCAATTTCTGTCAATTACGTGTAGATTTATGGCCCTTGATTTACTTTGCTGAAATTTGTGAAGGTTCGAACACCAAAGTTATCATCCGATCGGTATGAAATTTATATGCCTGTCGAATTTGAACAATTTCTGTAGATTACTTCCAGAGTTAAGGCCCTTGTTTTAGTTTTTAGAACCTTGTGAACCCTCAAACGACGAAAATTTTAATGTCATCTGTATGAAATTGTCTATTGAATTACCCTAATAACCTACAAAAGAATAAATATGTGACAACCCTTGTCGATTTAGCTGCTGTGGGTGTATGTTTTGTTGCCTGGCAACCTATCTTTGCTAAACGTGCCCCCCCCTCAAACAAAATCATACATCCCTGCTCACCACACCAGTTTCTACATCAACCTTTAAATTCTATTCTAATCTGCTATTTAATTTTGCAATGGGATACCTAATCAGTTATGTTATCAATGTGCAGCCTTGAGTGTTGTACACAGTTACGTTATCAATGTGCAGCCTTCATTATTGTACACTGAAAGATAGGTTATCTTGATAATTGCACACTGAAAGATAGGTTGCCAGGCAACAAAACATGCCCACAGCAGATAAGTCATCCAGGGCGACCTTCGGTTGCACAGATTTTCGTACTATAGTCGAACCATCTGCATGCCAATGACATTTAGTTCAACCAGTGGTCGTGACCAGCCGTACCATGCGAATGCGATAAAGCACGGTCGGGATAGTTCAAAGATGGCTGACAAAACTGACACTTGAGAAGATTTCCTGAAAAATATAATAAAATTGCCGATTGCCGTTGCGTTATTTACACCTTGGTAGGTATTATAGGGCCCATGTTAACGCCTGAAAATTAGTGAATGGGCGCTCTTGCGAAAAACTTGATTTCTCCATCAGATGTTAGCGGACCATAAGAACTAAAGTATCGCTGGATAGCCCCATTAATGGACTATCATTGTAGTATATAGATGTTAAATATGATTTTTTCGTCTTTTTTGATGAATTTGACAGATTAGGATCTTATTCGAATATATATAGGGACACGACAAAAAAATGTACGTGTGAAATGATTTGGTTGGGTGACATAATTCCAATGAAAAATATTCTGATATTGACTAATCCTATTTGTAACCTATTTTAAGCATGCTTTCACATCGCAGTATGGAAAATTAACCAGTTTTTAAAAATACATGAGTAAATAGGAGGAAATATAGCAGGCGGAACAACTGACATGGTCGCCACCATATTGAATAGTCAATGGCTAGGGCCATTTGCGTTTGGGTGCTGGTTCAGACTGTAGTCGCGACCATAGTCTACATCCGAAGGTCGCCCAGGCTTTCATTTCTTTCGCCAGTAATGAAAACATTTACAACACATGAAAATCTGATTACAAGTAATAACCCACAAGATTTTTCAAAGTGATCAAGGGCCTGAACTCTGGCAGTAATTATCGAAAATCTCATGACCTTCAACACTGTGTATAAATTTAAAGTCAATCGGATATTAACTTTGGCATCTGGAGTGTCCACAACATATTTCAGTGATCAAGGGTCATAACTCTGGCAGTAATTATCAGAAATCGTTGAAAATCACTAGTCTCCTTCGTCTCATGACCTTAAACACTATGTATAAATTTAAAGTTAATCAGATATTAACTTTAGCCTCTAGAGCGTCCACAAGCAATTGTGGACCTTGAACCAACGGAGGCGACAATAATATACAACCACATTTTCAATGTTTGTAAATGCCCTCAATACCCCCCAAAAGAATAAATATACGAAAACACTTGTTGACCGCTTGAAAAATTTAGCTGCTGTGGGCGTATGACAACCTATCTTGGATTACTGAAAAGGCAGTACAATTTTGACAGCGGGTGGCCCAAAAACCATTAGAAAATGACAAACAACCATCAGTTAATATGATAAATGTTTATTCAGAAACTCTGTGGTCCCATGTTCTATTTGCTTAAAAAATAAATCTGGAATTACTGAATATATTAATTTGTATAAGTGATAGCAGCAAAACAAAATAAACTGGTTTACATAAAAATGAAATGGAATAGACTATAGAGCTGTCAATATAAGATAACAGCTAAACTATAAGATACATATCTGATTAAATAACATCAAAAATAAAAAAGGAACTAACAAATTAAGACATATAATAGTAAGAATTTGTTCATCTGACGTCTTAAAATGTTGATCATCACCTCCATAAAAAAAAGCAACAAATTTAGTCTTAATGAAACCATATCTTCTACCGACATCATATTATCATACATATACATACAATGGTCCTGTTTCAGAAACAATCTACCGAATATATATTTACATATTAATTAAGTTTACAGAATATAGAAATGGATTTTTGATATGTAGGTTAATAATAAAGCAATTTCGTCAAGCTTTGGAGAAAAAAATCTGTCTCTATCTCAGATTTATTAAAGTTGTACATTAGCTATATTAGACCTAGTATTTTGCATGCCAGTTCTGTTAGATTAAAAAAATAAAAACTTAACATCATAAGCTAGATTATTTAAAATTAAATATCTTTACAACAAAATAATAAAACAAATCCCCAAAGCTGTTAATTATGCATACTGTTTTATATTAGAACTAAAAGACACAGAATATAATAGTTCAATAACAGAATACTTTTGTTTATAGTAATAAGTAAAATATTTGATCAATTGTCAAGTGTGACCACGACATTTACTAAAATACTAAAATACCTGGATTCATAAGGGTAAGGCAACTTTCATAATGTTAAGGGAAATTATATACAGTCAATAACAAATGTATTCAACTACCACATATCAACTTAGCAACAACTGTTATTACTTTATTATTATTCATTCTAATAGTCCTTATACTGTCACTTACAATATTGGTTCAATATTTTTAGTTATTACCATTCCATTTAAAAATTCAATTAACAAAAATAACTGATATCTAAAAAATTAAATCATAACAAGGTTGTTTTTTCTGATGGTGAATTATAAAGTATAATTTTATTTTAAGCAGTATTTCTATTATTTGATATACTGTTTAGCAGTAATCACAAAACTATATATTAAAAACTTACTTAGATATATGTTTTGTGTATATATATCAAATACAATATATAATTACATACTAAATATAATATGGAATATATATCATAATACTGCTACATACTAGATATATATTGGTTAATCTAGGTAAAACTTAATTATTCTGGTCGATACAATACACTCAATAACTAAAAACAAAACGATAGCATAATTCTTAACACTGAATACGTCAATTCCGAGCTTCTAATTTAATCTCTTTATTAGACGTTGCAGTGTTCCAGAATGTGACTCATTGTTCAAAGGTATTAAAATCTAGAGAGAAATTTAATGAGGTGAAATTGATTTGTATGATGATAATTTTTGTGTTAAAATAAGACTCTTTCTATTTATATATTTACAAACATTGCCTCAAATTATCAATTGCAGAATTTTTTGTAGTTTATAAAGTAGATCTGTAGTTTTGTAATTGTTTTTGTTTTTTTAACCCTCCATTCCACTGGTCATTCCCCGTCCTTTGAAATCTGGGTCCTGAGACATGAGACAAGCGAAAATAGTCATGATCATTTTGGGTTTAACTTCCACAATATCTTCGGGTAAGGCGTATACTCTTGCTCCTATTTTTCGGGCCATCGACACAGCGTATTTAGCATTAGCCATACGGATCTGAAATAATAAAAACAACATAAGTCTTTGAGTTTTTATTGAAATTCATGAGAAGCAAATAAGTGAATAACATATTTGTATTAAAAGGATATGATGACTAAATTATTATTGCGAAAACATTGATAAATATGCCCTACACCTACATACAATATTCTGCTACTAATTAAAAAAAAAAAGCCCAAAATCGACCTACCTCTGGTGTTAAACCTGTTTTCTTAACAACATCCCAGTTGACAGTTTTAGGTCTTAAAGAATCTATTAATGTTAACACCGTAATACCATCACCTAAGCTTGGATCTTTAAAACTTGAAAACTTTGCTCTACCTGCCATCTTAAATATACAAAATACAATATTAACATATTAAATGATGACAAACTTCTTCCATCAGGTGATGAGCATGGTGTATGTTATTTCCTTTGTTGCTGGTGGTACCCTTCTTTACCCTACTGTTGACAATGCAGTTATATCAACCAATCACATCCTAGTTTTCTTCAATGGTTTAATTTAAATTGGAAATTTTCAAATTACATTAGCTCAAGCCAAATAAATTTCTCTTTAAAATTTGAAAGCCCCAAAAGAGTGCTACAGAACTGACAATTTCATCTGAATTTGAATCAACCTCAACTAACAACATCATGGGGGAAAGCTACACCCCTTCACTGGTATATTATTTTTCACTGAGCAATGATGAGGACACTCAACTATAGATATTAATCAATACTTATAATAGTCATTTTTCCTTACCTTTTTATTGGCCCAGTCAATGATTTCTTGATCAGCAATAATAGAATTTCCATTGGTATTACCATCCTTCAGTTTACTTAATATAGACAGTGTATATGCTTTCATTAGTTGCCATACGTATGCTGAAAAATAAAGTGATGTCATTATGTATCAGTCAAAAATTAAAAATATTACGGTAGTATAAAGAGGTTTGCATTACATAGAAAAGTAAAATAAAATAAAGTTTTCTAACGGGTCAAAGGACTTTACCGAACATAAATTCATCAAAATAATATTCAAAACTTACCAAGTGTTAATGTTGGATTTCCTTCAAGCATATCCTGTCCACCAATACCAATAAGTGAAAATTTCTGTTTAATACCTAACTCTACAGCATAATTACAGTTCTCTATAAAACATAAATAACATAATTAAATACAATCACATTACAAATTGAATGTGTTTTAGTGTTCAGGTATGGTTATAGACAAATTATGATATTGGTTCAAGTGTGAGCTATTAATAATAGTTTTTTGCATGAGAAATTTGTCCTAAAGGTCTACTCAACTTGGTCAATGCTTTTTTTTAAAAAAAAAAGCCTAATGCTCCACCAATTCAAGTATGACCGACTAAAATTTGGCATGCTTGTTCCTTAGACAATTGTGCATCAATTGACAGACTTCAGTTTTTATATGCTCGATTCATGGTTCATATAGAAATATCAAGACTCCTTCATAATATTCTAGTTAATTGAGGTGAACATTACATTGCTAACAACATATATTATTCTCATTAATTGGGTACCGATTTTGCAGCATCTGGGAGAGATCAGAGTGTGAGAGAGAGTATTGTTATAAAGATTGTAAATCAACCCTCCCTGCCTAACAATAGCTGTAATTTTAAGTATTTACCTAGCTTTTCAAAGTTGACTTTCATTTTGGAGAATTTCTGGACAACTTTATTCCAGTTTACTACTCCTGGTTGTATAATATCCAATATTTTAAATATAACTAAACAATCTCTAATGTCTGTATATAAATGATGTACATGAGGATTAACACCCATACTATTCATCCAGTTTCTATAGGCTGTAATATACATAAAAATAAATATACATTAAATTTTATATCTTACTAGATGATAGAATCTCCAGAATCTGTTTTTATAAAGAGTGATAACTTTTTAAGTTAAGTATGCTTGGCTTGTTTTTTTGAATATTAACATGTTCACTAATAGAACATAATTTTTAACAAATTTGCAAGATACAGATTGTCAGAATAAGATTCAGGGATTCTAAAAAGTATTTGGACCTGTATATCAATTTATAATAGCCAACCACATCCAATCTTTGCATGGATATAAAACATAGTATATCACGTTCGTCTACAAACTCATTCAATTTTCATCACCAGATGTATTTATAATGTGCTCAATCACTAAATGCAATTCAAGGAATTTATTGAATCTTAAAAGCTCCACATTTCTAAAATGCATTTTGAAAACTCTATATTTTAAATTTGATGGCCACTAAAGTGACATTTGTTACAGTATTATTTAAGGATATTGCAATTCCAGGAGTTTCAATTAATATTCTGACTTGCATAGGTTTATAACCATCTTAAGAATTTAAGCAAATATCCTGTACTGTCCCCACAGCATGGTATCAAGGAAATATAACTGTTGTTAATGTTAGTCTACAGAGGCTGAGATTAGAATAAAACTTACTCTTTTCTTCTCTTGTTTCTTCGATGGCTTCAAAATCTTCTAAATTGTCCACTTTATCCAAAGCTGGGTAGTTATTGAACAAGTTGGCCACAAAAGCCAGATTTAATTTGGCATTACCATCTGTCACGTCTTTAGCTCCGACAAAACTTCGACAACCGATTTTATCAGCTTCACATAACATAGCTTCAGCTCTTTCTCGTCCAGCTGGTGTCTATAATATAAAATGATATAAATTAAGACTAAAACAATGTTTTTTTGTTTGTAACATGCAGAACCTGTGTTTGGTGTATATCGCGATTTTCCACCTTGGTCCACCCTTGTTAGTTATGCAAATGGAGGGCCTGGAAAAGGTCAGTTCCTAGTCATTTGGATGGGACAGACAAACAAAGTCATGTGTACACTTTGGCATGCACGTAAAAGAAAAACAAACCCAAGAACTTCATCAGGATAGATATCGCAGAAAAGTAGGATTTTAAACTTTTATTTCAAATAAAATTCTATGAGGAAATTGTGAGACAAATCTTGTTTTTGTGATGTTAACAATATATTTTACTTTTAGAAAGTTCCAAGTAGGAGATAATAAAACCCCCACACTCGATAAGAATAGAAGGGCGGAAGATTCCCTAAGACAGTGCAGGCAAGTTCAGAACTCAGTGATGCATCTGGGGAGGAGCAGGAACCAATCCGTGTAAATAAATCCAAAAGTAGTATCCCCGGCAACGAACGAGACAACACCGTGTAGTAGGTTCAAAAATCGCCCTTCATGAGCTGGCGGTTTTTACAATAATGGTAAAAAATAATCCGGATGAGTTAATATACAAATATTGGCTCATGCGCCTTAATAAAAAATGAAATTATTTTACTTCTAAGGAGGATAAAATATGGAAGAAACATCATAATACTTACATTTAAGGGACCTAATGTAACGTTAGCATCTCGAGGAGCTATTTGGTTTAATAAGTGGGTATAAGCTTCGGAATCCTGTAAATATAAATTTATTGAAATATAACAAATAACGTCTGACAAAAGAAACAGAATTTGTAATCTTAAGGATCTAATTAAATGACACAAAAGAAAAGACTGAGATAGATAATTAATCTTCTACGTTTATTACCACAAACATTTAACAAGAAATGTGAACATGAAACCTATATTCCTCCAAAATCATCAGGAACATGAAACCTATATTCCCCTACCTACCAATCATCAGGAACATGAAACCTATATTCCTCCTAACCCCACATAAGCATGAAAGCTATATTCCCTAACAATCATCTATTTCTCCACAACCTATATCCTCATGTACATGAAACCCATATTTCCCCACAAATACTATGTACATGAAACTTATATTCCCCCACAAGAACCATGTACATAAAACCTATATTCCCCACAAGCATCATGTACAAAACCTATATTCCCCACAAGCATCATGTACATGCATATAACTTCTGTTTAGGTTTTGTAATCTACAATAAACCAAAAGCAATTTGGAAATAAACAGATTATGTTATTTGACATTCCCTTCGACAAAATGGATTATTTGCGCTGTATTCACATACTGCTTATACTATGTTAAACATACATTATGCAAGCGCTAAATCTGCTTATTGCCTGAAATGTTATCTAAATTACCAATTAGACATTTATTAACTTATCCAGACCATAGCCAACTCTTGATGCCATCGCTAGCCTGCTATAATTAGCGGATTAGAATACGTTTTGTGAATGATAATTAAAAATGTAAAATTGGATAATCGAGACTGTGTTTATTATAACGATTTTAGTAATGATGATCGAGGCTAATAGCTAATATCTCGGTTCAGAGTGGAGCAATTTGACTGAAATTTTCAGCATATTCTATTTATGTTATCTTTTTTTTTAACTATTACAGAGAGAACTGTCAACTCTTTATCTAACCTCCTATAACGTCCCTTTAAGTTGAGGAGTATAGAGACAGAACACAACATTTTAAAAGTTAAACAAACCTTGATATCTTCAGTGAAGTTTTTAATAGATCGGTTAGCACCAGCTCGATCCAAATGATAATTGACCCAGCGTAATAAAATCTGTTCAGGCGATAATTTCTGTAAATCACTGATTTCTTCGCCTTCTAATAACAATGCTACCAGACCAGGATTGTGGGCCAGATTTATGTCACTTAGTAGACCAATCTAAAAAATTAAAAAAAAACATGGATTAAAGAACATTACACCTTATGCATCAATCAAAAGGTCTTGATATTATAATAGGAAACAGAAATCATATGTAAAGACTATTTTCTATAAAACAACTATTTCCATTGGTATTAATCAAATAAAGCAAGACTAGATCAATTGACTCTTAATAATATATCGAACAAAAATGTTCATGACATAGTATCATTTCCTTTTGGCTAACTTGGTACATGTGTAATCAGCGATATTTCCCCAACAGGAGCATCCTGTCACACTTCTGACATTAAACAGAGCTACAAACACTCACTTAAAGACATGACACAAGCAGGCAATTAGACATTTTAACTGGATAATGGGAACCTGTCCGACATCATATAAGATAGTCGGATGGATGAGAGATCAGGTGAATAATATCATGGGAATTACGGCTAATTATCATACCCTGAAAGACATATCATGTCCAAACTGGCCATTATCATCAGAACAGCCAATATTCTAATGAACAATAAAAATGTTTGTTATTGAGAAACTAATAAAGGAAAAGGTGACATTTGAGAGGTAAAACTTGTCGTTAGCAGACTTCAAAAGTGGAAAGGAAAGATACAAATTCTTCAGTCTAGTCAAACATGTCATACGTTAATATTATATCAGTTTGAGCTGCCAGTTATCATTTATTATCAAGTACTATACAATATGGTGTCAGAAAACTTACGCGAATAATCTGCCATAATACACCTAGAATTAAATGTGGTTTTCCTTCCTGAACATCAACAGCATCTATATTAACAATATTACAACCAATAGAAGCAGCTGAATTGAGAGCCAGTGTGATATTTTCTGATCGTCTGTAGACACTAAGATTGGTTTTATTTATAGCATCTTCGGATATTGTGTCTGGTACTGATTGATTGATAAGTTTACTGAAATATATCAAAACAATATATTAGATCATACAGCAAGTATTTTTTTTTTGATGAAATATGTCTTATAAGTAACTGTACAGCCAATTCAAATTCATCAATAGTACATATAGTTACTACAGAATTGTTAATGAAGTTTTCTCAATTTACGTAACATAAATTTGTGAAATGGTACCAGCTCCAGAACACTATTCATTTTTATTTATTCTTAATTATGTATACGGTGAAATTCTGGGACCATTTAAATTTTAAGAGTTGTTTTAACAACCCACACGTCACCAATATGATTGTTCTTATATTCATTTTGATAGCAAACTCATATCTAGAAGCACTATTTAGCAATTGAAATTGCCAAATCACATATGGGTACTGTTTGTAAAGCAAGAAGTTAATGTGATTCAAAGGAGCTCTATAACTTTTTTATAATCATATATTAATGGCATATAATATCAAGAATACTAACTAATTATTCACTATAAAACATTGTAATATACTTTCATGTCCCTTAACTAACAAGGGCATTGAAATTAAAGCTATTATCATAAGGACATTTTTAAAGCAATGAATGTCATACTTGCTTACTTCTTGTTTGACAATATTATAGTTATTGTTGTAATTTTTAAAGCATTAATGTCATGCTTGCATTAATGCTTGTGTGACAAGTTACAGCCATCATCTTTTCTTAAGCAAATAACTATACACAAAGTAATTCTGTTTATATAATTGTATGAGAAAACTATTGGAATCAACCATGCTCGATAAACATTGTGTACAATATATTTTAGAGAACTGTCTATTATATCAATCAAAACATTTAAATTTAGGAATAATAAATTAAATTTTATCTATAAAAACTAACATTATATTTCTACATTTAAAATATATCAATGGCAACAAAATATTGATCATCTTCAATAACAAACGATGAAAAATAACACAACTCACCATAAAATAATTCCATCAAAACAAGATTTATATAAACCTTCAGCCGAATCAATGGGTAAATATTTTTTACAATCAGCATCTTCCGCTAAATTTCTAAAAAAATTTTATTGAAAATTGATTAAATAAGCTATATTTTAGCTAAATATTGGGAACAAATGCAATACAAAAGTTTTTGGTACAATTTCCTTATTTACCAGTAAGAGTACCTGCATTCAACACTTGTCAGATCTGCATTAAAGCCCAGTTCCTGATAATTATTTGCAATCTTCTGACATGTACAATATTGTACATGTACAATATTGTACAAGTTGAATCAGTTCTCTTCTGTATTTACAAAGATATGATGAATTGAAAATGTCTGAAGAAACATTGGTTATCCACTGCAGATGATATACATGTACATGTAAATCAACCAACACCACCTATATGTGTTATGTAAGCTTATTTGATTTATCAAAAAAATGTCTGTTTATATGTAACTCTGACTTGCAACAAGTTCAAAAGATTGCATAAATTGGACCATATATGGGAGAATAACTCTGATTTGTGATAAAAAATCAGAATTTCTATAGCCTCAAATGAGCAATCAATTTGAATTTGAAAAATAAAATCTAACAAAAACAGCAATAATTAACAGACACTTAAGTCCATATTACATGTAAATGTGGGTGTGTAAAAACACACAAAATTCCTACTGTCCTTTCATTCTGTTCTACGTACCGATTAATCCAGTTAGAGAAAGCTGTTGCTTCTCCATCACGAACAGAATGTGTTGTTCCTTCAGATGAGGCTTGTGAAGTACCGCCATGTGTTTTTATACCAGCTCTAGTCTGAACCATTGTTTTAAACTTAGAACCAAAATCTAACCTTTCTCTTTCTTTTTTAAATAACTGTAATTAATATACAAGATAAAATAACATAAACCAATGACTTAACATTTAAAAGCCTATTTTTTGGGACAGAAGATTTATTCATAATAATTCTGTGAGTACATACAAGATAATTTTCTATAATAATGCACAAGAGTGGTTATAAAAGCCTTGATGTCTCAATAGGAATCCTTTGGAAACCACAATATTGTGACAGATGAATCTCTACTACACATGTGTAGGAATATTGGTCTAAAATAGTTTAATTCTGTTCAGTATTTACAAAGTTAGATAGAATTGAAATTTCATTATCTATGCTGTTTGCTATGTAAAAGCCTGTCGCCAGTTTGTTGTGGGTAAACATAAATGATAGGATTTTTCTAGCACTGGTATTTTGATTTTGTTTTCTCCATTAAATGTTAAATAATAAATCTGAGTAGTACATATTAACATGGATTAAACATCGAGAATGCCAATGCCTGGCTCATCTTTACTTTAATCAATATGGCTGCTACCTGGATCCTGGAGTTTTAAATACATAAACAATTAAAAAGAAATATGATGTCCAAATTTAGTTAATAATTTTTTTTTTCATATGCAATAAATCAAATGAAAATATGTAAGTTTAAATTGAATTGAAAGATTAGATGAAATTTAAACTTACTGATTTAAATTCTTGCATGCTTAGTTTACCATCTTGATTTTGATCATATTGTTTTACGAGATCTCGAATGGCATATCCTGGTAGATCAATACCAACACATTTAAACGCTGCACCCAATTCTCCCAACTGTATAAAGCCATCTCCCTCTGTATCAATCTAAAATGTACAAATTAGTGACAAACATAAGTTTTTAATCCACCACTTCTGGTATTCTTATTGAGATGTCTTTTTTTGTCTTTGAGAAATTGTTACCAATAACATGTCCTATGTTAAGAAGAAGCATCAATCAAGCATCATTATTGTTTGTCCATCTTTAACAGAACTTAAGAATTTCTTCTATTTAATGACTGAAAATTATGTACAACTGTACTGTAAATAAGGATAATTTGGTTTTCTGGGTTACATGTAATTTGACTGAAATCCATCATAGCATGTAACGTATTCAAAATGTAAGAAACTCTGGTCCAGGTTTCTTAGAACACACCTTAACCCAGTTTGGACAAGTAATTTAATATCCAGTTTTCAAAATTTCATCAATTGAGGATCTGTCTAGGCTTATTAAGTTTATTAGAATGTGTTTGGTTTTTTTTCGGACAGGATTATAATACATTATTTTATACAGATAGAAATCTGTGGTTGGTGATAGTCAAGTACATGTACAGTGTAGTTGTGTACATGTAGCAAGTTATAGACCAAAATGTACAGTAGGTAGGTACATGATACAATATAATAAACATCACTACTGTTTGTTTTTTTTGTTATAAACAGGTTTCTTTATTAATGGCTGAATTACTTTTTGCTGATAAGACAATAAAATATGTGCATAAGTGAATAAATCTGAGATAAGAAAACTAACACAATGCTTAATGCTTACATTGAGAAACTGACAAGCTGTAAGCTAATACAATGCTTAAATGATTTGAGACAAGCTGTAACTTGATTCATTAACATCTATTCAATAAAAAAATAACCATGATATGATTTATCAGATTGTATAGAAACATTATTGATTAATTCTTCCATTCTATATGAATGCACTCCTCCAAAAAACAAATTTCTGTCTCAATGGAAATGCCAAATCCTCTTACTTTTCTCCACGACTTAATGATCCAATCTTATCGAATCGAATCGGGACAAATGCTCTTTTCCTTGGAGGTTCTTTTGTAAAGTAGAGCCACATTTATCTTTCTCTCAGACAATCAATAAGAAGTGTACCCAGCCCCCTCTTTAAACAAATACACCAACCTTATCAAACAGATTAGATTTTGTTACTAGGAGTAACACAGCCCACCACAAATATCATTTCTCATCATATTATATGTACATGTATAGTACTTATAAAAGTGATGATTTGCTATATTTATAATGTCTGACATAGATTTATTAGATATTTGAAACTAAATATTTAATTATGTCTTTATTAGTTTCAATTTCCAACAGAATAAGTTTAATACTAATATCAGTACATTTTCCTGCTGCATAATTAAATACATACATGTATTTCAGGACCCGAATACAATAATTATCAAAACTGTAAAAAATCTTGTACATCAAAATAACAAACTGCAGTGGTCTTTGGAAAGTGATCCTAAAACTTTTCTTCCTGAATGAGGGCATAATTAAATGCACATTGTGATAAATGAGCTGAGGGGAAGGCTTGAGTCACCAAACACTTCCTCTTTCAATTTTGATAAAAGATTCTAATTAATTATACTATGTCTCTTAATACAATTTTGGTTCAATAACAATCCTCTGTGTAAATCAAGTAATTAAACGATGTTGTCTTTCAATTTAAAAACATGACAGTAGATTTATAAAAGAAATTGTTTTTTCTTTGCCAAGTTTATTTAGATTGGCTACATACCAATCCGACCTTGTTCTATAACCTTACAACTTCTAAACACAAAGTATTTAAAGTATTCTACAACTAAACATCAGGCCAACATTAAATCTTTTTCTAGAAGTATCCTAGAACATCACTTACAAACAGTATCTTATTGACCCACACGTTATGGAAATCATAATGTATTAAAACAGCATTGTGTAAGATTTAGAAAAAATTAAAGAGATGGCAGTTATTGCCATATAACAGTTCAAAAGTAGATAATGAAAAATGATATTGAAAATTTCAGTCAAATTAAGCCTGGCGCACACTATACAACTTAAGCGACGAGTTTGGCACAAATATTGCCGCAATATAAGTGGAGTGATCACGAGTCATGTGACACCTCTAAATGCATTTTAGTCGTCATCTCGTTTAATACTTCAAGTAATACTGTTTTGTAGATAATGATGAAGCGGTGCATAGTCTTCTTAGTACAACACCGGTCGAGTACAATGTGTTTATAGTATTCTAAGTAATGAGGTCAAATTGGGCGACTCTTTTACTCAAGTATGTATAGAAAACAAACTACATGAGGATGAGCCCAGAAATATTCCAGGGTATCTTAAATATAATTAGCCCCCTCATTACCAAACAAACAACAAGATGAGACAACCAATAAGCCCAGGAAAGCGATTGACTGTCACTGTCACCCTCCGTCTTCTCGGTACAGGTACTGGAAAATAACGCCCATGCATTCTAATTACCATCTATGAATCCTAGGACTATTATAACTTATTATTATTGAGTATGCTGTAGGCCGTCACGTTGATATGAAACACCAGTAAGCAGAGTGAACTCAAACTCACTGGATACATTTAAAAAGAGTGTACAGTATAGGACAGTTTAAAGATGCAGTGATGTGTGACATATTACTTAAGATTCCATTTATAGCACTGTGACCATATTAAAATACTCATAAAATAAATAAAATCGCTCAACCACAAGTATATTGCTATATAGACGGAACAATCCACTGGGCTTTCCATGTATTCCGCACGTTTCTTTTCTTACGATAGTTTAACAAATAAAATTTACAGTTCACACATTTAATAAGTGCCAGAATTGCAACTTAATTAAATGTTAGAACTATTATATGGCACAGAAGTTCTAATAAATTCAATGACTCTGCAATCAGAAGATAGAGAGTTGACTATGGGCTGGTCATATCAATAATGCCTAAGTACATGTAATAATATCCATAACATTGAAAGTGGTAGATTTAGCTCAAAGTAAAAATTCTTTGGTTCTTAAAGGCTAGAAATTTATTTATTTACTTTTCTGACCTACACATCTGCATAAAATGATTGGTCAAAGAAAAATAGAAACAACCAATTTGTTAAAGTGGCCTCGTATACACACAGACATTTTATCATTCATTAGGTCAAATCGAGACTAACGTGTTCAAATATTTTAACCTGGTTACTTCTTTCTCTAATCCACTGGTATGTGGAATTGTCCACTATCCTTGATCAGGTCAATTGTAATGGTCAATGTTTGTATATAGTTTGTGAAATATTGGTCTGATGACTTCATACATGTTGTATAGTGTTACTTATGATTTAATTACCATACCAAGGAAGATTTCCTCACTCAACTTAACACTTAATTTACTCATCATTGAGCTTACTCAACAATGATTTAATTACCATACTAAGGAAGATTTCCTAACTCAACTTAACATTTAATTTACTCATCATTTACCTTACTGAACAATTTATTACTCATCATTGTCCTAATGGAACAATTTATTACACCCTAATCACAGTTATCAATATCTACATGACCTGTCATAGGTTTGCCATTATTTTACAATAGCCCCAACCTGCCATCCACAACCTAGGGTACCTTTTATTACAAAAACATTTTGGTCCCAATTTCATTTTAGTTACAACCATTGAATTACATTTACATAGTATTGTAGCCCAAAATGGAAATTTCTTCGATTTTGATTGGTCGAAAAGTTGTGTCAAATGAGTATAACGGTCCTCTAAATTTCCTGGACGACTCACTGCGAATGAATATTTTCTGGTAAATTTTCTGTTTGCAGAGGCCAAAGAGTCTACACCTCAAAACTTTTTTCTAAGAAATCTTCATGATTTTTTTCTTGTATGTCATCAACAATTTTAAGCTACATATTTTTCAACTTTTCAGATATACATGTAGGTGGAGGATCTGCTTTGTTTTACCTTTTACTTTTCTATTAACCCCAAAATCTTCTTAACAATTTATAAATGAATTATACTACTAAACAATTATGTGGGTTTACAATTTTTAAACCAATTTAGTATTCCAACTACATATACAGTTTAGTATTTTTAAAAAAAAGAAAAGTACAGAGTAACCAAAAAAAAAAAACCAGGTTACTTGTACCAACATATTATAATTATAAATAATTGAGTTTTCATGTGGCCGTGGTATATAAGCTTTTATTGTAGTGTGACTGGTCCCTTACTTCATGCTTCAAATATCTCCAATAATACCCATCTACATCTAATACCACCAGTAACAAATTACTCTACCTTTATTTGTAGACTTTAAATGATTTGTCAGTACTGATGACTAACATAGAGATTAATTTGATGACTACCTACTGATAATAATAATCAAATTACAGAAATATTTTATAAGACTGAGTAGGGGCAATAAATTGATCAGATCAATGATAATACAATACTAATAGCTTAAAATAACCAAGGTTCATGCTCATTACAGAATTGTATTCAGTATGGTAATTGAATCGTTGGAATTATTTATTTTATTTGTGACCAAATGTGATGATTCTTCAAGAAAAGACAAGAGCTGTTTTATTTATAATAGCCATACACTGTATATATAATTTGCACTGATTATTTTAATTTCCTAAGATGACATCTGTAATGATTAATGTATGATTAGAGTGTATTAATCATAGTGGCAGTAAGTGGTGATAAATTTCACATAATAAATAATATACAGTAAGCTTACTCTTCAAAAAAAAAAAAAGAAACACACAGCCCATTTTTCATCTTTGTTTCCATAAATCATGTAAGGAAAAAAGAAATTCATTATTGGTTTTAAATGTAGGGTCACTAATTGTGTCTGGTCATACTTTTTGCCGATATTTGTTTTCGCTTGATTGCACCAAGACACATGAGTTTTACAACTTTAATCTAATGCCTTTAAAATCCCAGGGTTCTCGGTTTCAAAATCAGTTGCATATGTAAACACTCAACGAGCCAAGTGATGCTACATCTGAACGAAGACCAACACAACAACGCCATCGGTCTGTTAC